CTGCCAGCTGATCTATAAGTGTAATAAAATCCACCCACCGCAGCGCTCTGGCCCTGCTGTGGCCCTATCGATAGCCTCGTGCCTGGTGGCAGGGAGCCCAAAAGGCTCATTAAAGCCCTACTGCTGTGCCAGCCGTGCTTGCCTGGTGCCTGGGCAGCTCAGGGCAGGCTGAGCCAGCCCTGGGTGTGTGCACAGAGCATCCTCAGCTGGGATTTGGGAGCTGCATCCCCTGCTGGGATTTAGGAGGTCATGTCTCACTTTGCATGTCTGGAAAGGGGTGACTGCCTCTGAAAAGGGATCCTCTGCAACTACCTGGAAGGTGGTAGCCAAGTGTGGGTCAGTCTGTCCTCACAGCTAACAAGTGATAGGACAAGAGAAAACAGCCTCAAGTTTCTCCAGAGCAGTTTTGTGTTGGGTATCAGGAAAAATTTCTTTAATGAAAGAGTGGTCAAGCATAGGAACAGGCTGCCCAGGGAAGTGGTGGAGTCACCATCCCTGGAAGTGTTCAAAAATGTCACAGATGTGGTGCTTCAGGATATGGTTTAGTTGAGGACCTGGCAGTGCCCTGGGTTAATGATTGGAGGTGTTTCTACAATTCTTTAACTTTTCAAGGAGTTGGTGCTTTCCTGATGGCCTCCAGGCGGGAATGGTGGATGTGGCTCTGGTTTGGGCTCCCAGTGCTATGCTGGTGCTGGGAGCTGCGTGTCCAAGCTCTGTCTGTGCCCTTGCCCAAGCCGTGGTTGTCTCCACATTGCCCTGATGTGATGATGGGACAGCGAGGTCTTGCTACCTTCTGTCTGCATCCTGCCTGGAGCACTGTGATCAGCTGGGCCCAGGCACTTGGCTGGGTGAAGCTTTTAACAAACAGGAGCTGCCTTTGCAGAGCACTGGGGAGTGCTGCGAGTGAGCAGCACTCGGCAGCCATCCTCATGAATATTTTAGCTGGGAGAATGAACATTTGTCAAGACACATTTATGGAGGCAGCGTGGATGTCTCTTCCCCAGGTGCTGCAGGCTCGCTGCTGCTCCAGGGCAGTGCTGGGAGCCAGGGCAGAGCCAGCCGGATCCTGAGCCCGGAGTGGGACAGCAGAGCTGTGATCTCCCCTGGGACAGCCAGGCCCCGGTGCGGTGCCAAGGCAACCAGCCCGCCATGTGAGATAGACAAATGGTTGTGGGTTGTTTTTTTTTTTTTCTTCTTCCCCTCCTGGTTCTTGGCAGAAAGTAAAATGTCCCTTTTGTTTGGTTTCCTCCTCCCCCTGCCCCATCGCCTTTCTCTAAAGGTTGTGTTCCAGATTTCATCAACCCACGTTGTGTAATAGCCCCAGAGAACGGGTTGGGCATTGGCCATGTCCCATGGAGGCCATGGCAGAGTCCCCATGAGCTTGACCATGGGGTTACCTGCTCCAAAACATCCTGTGTACAGCTCCTGAACAAAGCTCCCTTGTATTTTGTATCAAACTGACATGATCCCCATGTGTTAGAAATTATAGGGAAGATCCTTGGAAAAAAATTCAGAAATTTTTGAATCTAAATAATCCTGTTTCTCTACCTCAAATAATCCTGTTTTTCTGCCTCAGCCCTGCAATGTCTTATGGAAATGAGGGGCTTTGCAGATAAACCCTTTCGATTTACAGCATCAACTCCTGTATCTGGGAGTTCATCACCTGTGAAGCATCCAGCACTGTGCTGGAGGATGCAGTAATGCCCTGCTTGAGATTTCTTCCTTCAAGCTTCTAAGAGGTCCCCGTTTTTCCTTTTCCTCCTTTCCACTGCCCAAGGAGGGGGCTGCTGCGGTTGCTGAGCTCTGCATCCTAGGAGCATCCATCCAAAGATCCCTGCATCTCATCCAGAGGCTGCTGCTGGTGTTGATGTGGAGAGCCTGGCATGACTCACACCCTGGGCACACAGGGAGGGAGAGGAGGAGGAGGAGGAGGAGGAGAGAGCTCTGCAGGCTTTGTGTGTTATGGAGAGGGACGCTGTGAGCACGTGTGTGTGTCAGTAGGGATCTGTCATTCCAGAGGGAAACAGCAATGTAATTGTTTCTTGTCTCTGGTTCCTCTGCTGGTACTGGCAGCCTGGGGAGCTGTAGCTGCTCGTGTGATGCAAGTGCTCCTCTTCCTGTGCTGCTGAGGGATGGGGACTGCTCGAGTGACTGGGCTGGAGGCACCTGGTGGCACTGGTGCCCTCAAGGAGAGCTGCTGCTGGTGATGGTGGCTGTAATGGTGTCCTCTACTTCCAGAGAGGTGCATCCTGCTGTGTTTCCACCCCTACCCCTAGTTAAAAGACACACCAGCCACCAGATCCCGTTCTGGGATAGCTGTGGGCTGTCATTGGCAGCAGCATGGGAGAGGGCAAAGGCAGGGCCAGTGCCTGGGGACCAGGCTGTTCCTCAGCTGGGGACTGGCAGCAGCCAGCAGCTGGAGCAGGAGCTGAGCCTGAGCATCTACTCCTGCCTCACCCAGACACGAAGCCACCCTGGGGTCTGATGCTGAATTCAGCCTTGTATCAAAGCCTCTGCTCTTCCAAGGGCTGGTTGAAATTCCAGCCCTGTTGTTCTGGTGTCTCTGCCGTGCAATGCCTCTGCTTCTGCATTTATTTATTCCCTTCCAACTGCTGGAGCCACACAGTCCTCAACCTGGCCAGGGACCGACCTTGCTCATCCTTCTCCAAGGTTTCCCAGCCTTGAGAAACCCACAGCCCAGAAATAGGTGCTCAGAGGTGAAGAAGGGGTCCAAGCCATCTCCTTTTCCTTGGTGGAGTCTGTGTTTGTGCACATGGTTTTCCACCAGGCACTATTTGCATTTTGCTTCGCTTCAAAGTTCCTGTGCTGCCTCTGAGGAAGGAAACAAATGGTGTAAAGGAATTTACATCCCAAGTGAGTGAGGCTGCTGGTCTGTCAGGTTTCATCTGCTGCTGAGGGGTGTGGAGGTGCAGGGGAGTTGCTGTGGGATGGAGGATTCATCCCTAGGGCCACAGGTGGAAGAGGGTCATTCCCAGCTTTGTTCCCAGCTCTCTCCAGGTGTCCTGGCTCAGAGGTGCAGTGGTGGACGTAGACCCATGTGTCAGGCTGTACAAGATGCCAGCATTCACCCTTCACAAGGAGGGCTGAGTGGCAAAACCACTTTGCAGGGCCAGCCTGGCAGTGGAGGGCCCCAAACCGGCTCCTCTGCTCCCAGCACGTTTCGGTCAGGGCTGGGTGTGGGCAGCAGGAGCAGCCGCCCTGAACTGCCATGGGGTTGGAGGGTGTTGGTTCTTCCTCTCCTCCTGTGCCAGCTCCCTGCCAGATCCTTCTGGGGCCTTACAGTGAATCAAGGGACTGAGTGGCCTGTGGGATCCAGGATCCCCTTGTGGGACTGGGGCTCCCTCCCTCCTCGTCGCCCCCCTGTCCTTGTTGAATTCCCTGGTGCAATACTGCTCTGGGAGGGGAAGGAGGTTGGACCTGGACCTTACAGGCCTGGAAGCCTTGGCTGTGCCTGAGGCCAGCAAGACAAAAACTTTTCTAAGACTCCACTTGGAACAGGAGAAAGTTTTTCCGTTGGGTTTTTATAGCTCCCGGAAAGCGGGGTTTTATTTTTGTTGTCTAAGACAAAAAAATCCTCTTAGGAGCTGACTACCCGTGGTGTGCAGGGCAGGAGGCTGGGCATGCGCTGTGCTCAGGGTCTGGGCAGCCTTTGCTTTCTCTCCCTCCATCCTGGAGGGTGGTCTCTGGATGCTGATTTCCACAAGGAAAAGAGAAGGGTTTGGTGTCCCTGGTGTACAGCTGGTCCTGTTCATGTACCCAATGCTGCAGCACCTGTGATGGCTCCTTGCCACCCCTGCACTGTCATAGGATGCTTCCACCCAGGGACACAGCTGCAGGGGAAGCCTTTTTCCTGGGGAAAGGGGCTATTTCCCACTACCTGCAGATGGCTAAACTGAGGACTCTGATCTGAGTTTTCTGGGTTTGTAGGCTGGGGCCGTTGAGCTCTCCCCCGTCACCCTTTCTTTGCATGGCACAGGCTGCTTTTGGAGGGATTTTACTGGCAGGGGAGCTGGTTTCCATGGTAAAAACCTTAACAGCATCTGCCAGAAATCCGTCTCCTCGTTGGCCCTGCCATCTGGAGGGCACAAGGAGGCTTTGGCAGGGTGAGGAGGTGTCCACAGGCTGCTTTAGGTCCTCCTTCAGTGCTGTTGGCAGCTCGGAGGGAACTCCCCCTTAGTCATTTATGTTCCAGGTACAGGTTTGCCCTGCTGCAAGGACCCTGGTGTCACCGAGCCTGGCTGGGGACATGGGAGCCATGGAATTGCTCAGGAGGGAGGGCTGCAGACACTGGGGATGGGCGGATACGCTGTAATCGGATGAGCCAGCGCTGCTCCAGATGGAGCTGTCAGCTCTTGTCAGTGCTGACACCCCTCTGGGTGTCCCTCAATGTCTCCTTGGGCCACAGGGGCCGGCACCTGTCCCACTTCACCAGGTCTCCTTGGAGCTATGGGGCTGAGAGGTGTTACTGTTCAGAAAACCCACCAGGCAAGGTCCCTTCCATGCTGCAGTCCCTCCCTGGCAAGCTGCATGGGTTTTTAAAAATTGTAATGAGAAAAACCTGGCGCTTGTGTCTGTCTGTTTATCCCTGAGCCATCCTGTGCTGAGGGCAGTGGATTGCTGCTTTGCCGTCCCTGTCCCCAGGTGCCATCCCACCAGCCCAGATGGTTTGCAGCTGCAGACCCAAAGCTGGCCACTTGGTGCCCTTCCTTGGTGTCCGGGTGTCTTAGCAGGGCAGCCATCCTTCCCTGGCAGCAGTGGACCAGACTGGTCTGGCAGGAGTTGTACCTGTTGGTCTGTGTCCCCAGATGTGTGGTACAGAGCTTTGCTGTGCACTGGCACACAGATGGATCTGGTCACCTGTGGGCAAAGCATCTTGGTGTGTAGCATCCTGGTGTCTTCCAGGAGAGGTTTTAGGGCTCAGCTCTGCACTCCTCTGCTTTTCTCTCCTTAAAGTTGCTCCTTTCTCCTTTCCTTCACAGCCGACCACCCTCCCACAGGGCACCATCAACATGAACCAGTGCACGGATGTGGTGGATGGGGAGAGCCGGACAGGGCAGAAGTTCTCCTTGTGCATCCTGACGCCGGAGAAGGAGCATTTCATCCGGGCTGAGAACAAAGAGATCATCAGTGGGTGAGTGCAGATCTGGGGCTGAGCCACTCCCAGGCTCTTCCATTAGCCAGGAGGAAGAGGAAGGTGGGTAGGACCTTGACCAAGCCTGGCTGCTATGGGTGTGCAAACCCAGGCTGATTCTGGGTGCTGGGGTTCATGGTGGGTGCTGTGGTGACTCCACAGTGCTTCTAGGGATCCCATCAGGCACCCAGCCCACTGGCACAGGTCCTGTCCCCACACCAGTGGCAGGTCCCATAATTCTGGGGCTGGCATGTCTGACCCCGAGTGCCATACACAGTCTGCTCATCCATCCCTGGGCAGATGTGGAACCCTGGGGTGGATGTTCTCTACCTCCCTGGTCCCTGGGAAGCATCTCACCTCCAAGGATGATTAATATATCACAGGAATGCAGTGGTTCAGTGACACTGAAGATTAGACCGCTAAAATGAGCAAATCAGGGTAAATTTCCCAACTCCAGGTGTTGGGTGGTGACCTAGAAACATCCTTTTCCATCACCCACGTGCCAGCTGGGGTTGAAGCTGGTGCTGGTGAAGGTGCAGAGCCCTGGGAGAGCTGAGCTGCCAGCACTCAGTGACGGAATGTGGCTGTGCTGCTGCTCACCTGAGAGCCCTTCCCGCATGGAATGCCCAGAGCTCAGTGCCTCCCTCCCAGAATTTGACAACATTTGAAACTCCAGCAGGAAGTTAAAGGGATGAACACTTGCTCTTTCCCACTGTTCCCGAGGCACAGCATCTCCTGCCTCCCCCAGCCGTGGCAGCAGCAGAGTCAGCACTTTCTGCTGAGATTCCTGGTTCCAAGCTGTATATTCATTGTGACTCCTCTTGTTTTGTAAATACTTGTTGAAATAGACATTTTTCTACCAAGAGCTTGGGATTTTGACCAGATGAGTATTTTCACGCATTGAAACCTCCCTGTCCTGCTGAGACAAGTGAGCACAGGTGAACCTTGGGCTGGCAAACCTGTCCCCCCAGCCCCATTCACAGCGACGTGTTGCAGTGGAGCCGGGATGCAGAGCCATGTGGGAATCACAGCACAGGGGAGCAAGCTCCTCTCCTTCCTGGCAGGAGCAGTGGCTGTGCCCCAAACCGTGGCCAGCCCCCATGGCCTGCTCTCTCCACCCTCTCCCCACTCTCCAGTTCCCAGCTCAGCCTTTGTTGCCAGTCCTGCCTGCCGTGGGAGGGAGAGGCATTGCAGAGTGAGGTGGGGCTGATTTATTGCTCATCAGCCCAGCAATGGATTTTGAAGCAGTGCATTTGCTCCTGACTGCAGGCATTAATCATCCCCGAGCAATCCCACTCTGGGGCCAAGCCAGGCTGGTTTCGTTTGCAGTTGCAGCACGACAGGAAGATTTCCCTGGCTGGGGGAGAATTTGTTTTACGTTCATTCTGTGCTTCTGGCGTTTATTGCTTAACCAAACCCCACTTGATGTGGTCATCTCTGAACGCTTTACAACAGCAGCGTGCAAAGCCGGGGGAGAAGGAAAGGAGAGCGGGGACATTTGAAGCAGGAATGTTTCCCAGTGGTCCAGGGATCTCTGTGGAGTTCTCAGAGATGCGGGGGCAGGTTGTCAGGCCACGGTGGGAGGACACAGGACTTCTCAATGCTGAGTTCATGCTGCTCTTCCTTGGACAAAAGCGCTTTGTCTGCATTGTGCGGGTGTTGGCATTGCTCAAGGGAACGCTCCTGCTGGAGGCTCTGTCCCTCTCCACTGTCTTTCAGGATCCTTGAATCCCTGCCCCATGGTAGCCTTGACTGTGGCCTCACTTTTGCAGAAAGCAGGGTTTGAAACAGAGCACCCTGGAGTCATCCCTCTTCTCCTGCCTTATTTTTCCCCCAGGAGCTGGTTGGGATAGTTTCTGGGTATTGTTCACCAAGCTGACCCTGACCAGGTCAGCATCATTCCTATCCTTGTGGCACAGACCTCACCTTCTGCTTTCTCTTCCTGCAGGTGGCTGGAGATGCTCATCGTCTATCCCAGGACAAACAAGCAGAATCAGAAGAAGAAGAGGAAGGTAGAGCCCCCAACTCCCCAGGTAACCCAGGAACACACACACACACACTGTCACCCAGTCCCTTGCCTCCCTCTCAGGGCCATGGTCTTGCTGTGGTCCTGGGGTAGATCCCCCCCAAGGTGTCAGGATCAACAGCCCTCTGATGCCTGTGTGGAGGGTGAGACCTGGGGCAAACCAGGGCAGCAGATCAGTTCAAATTAGTTCTTGGTCTCACTTCCAGGGTCACACACTCCTGCTTTCCTGTCTGCTTTGGGGCCATGTTTTGCCCTCTGTGAGCTATTTTGTGGTGCCACCCCTGCACACAATCCTGGGAGTGGCCACAAAGCCATATGTTCCCCATGGGGGACCAGGAAGAGGTGCTGTTCATGGGCCATTTCGTCAGAAACAGGATGAAATTCCATCGGGCTCCAGTTACTCCCTTTGAGATGACCCCAGAGATAATGGGAATGAAAGGAAAATACTAAAGGCCAGGGCCAGGCTGGGAGCTCCGGGGGCCGGAGCTGGGCTCTCCAGGGACCCAGCGGTGGCTTCGTGCTCACTTTGACTATAAATGGTAAAAAGTGGGGCCGGCCGTGACTCACTCGTTCCTGCCTGGCTCCCACGTGGCCGGAATGGGGGAGAATCCCACAGATGGGGAACGTGACCCCAAGGCCACCCTTGTCCCTCGCCAAGGCTGAGAACAGCCATGTCCCTGAGGCTGCCTGACCTCTGAGAACTCATCCCACTGCCACAGGGGACTGGCTGGGAGGGCTCCTCCAGCCGTGCCGGGGACCAAAACCAGCGTCAGGGCTCCCCTGAGCCTTGTCAGGGCTCCCCTGAGCCTTGGTTTTCAGGTCCTCTTTGATAAAGTTCCAAGGATGGCTCTGGTGCTAACTGGGCCATGGATGGGTTTTGTACAGTGTTTGTTTGAATAAGTTTTCGTCACTCCACTGGATAAAGATGTTCTGGGCAATGGGAAAAAAGTCAGTGGGGAGATGATCCTTTTTTGCATACCAAGCTGTAAGACTGAGCCACCCCTTGCCAAAGTCTGGGGTCCTCACAGCCTGAACAACCCCTCAAGTGCTGGCTGTGGTGATGATGCTCCAGGGAAAATGCCTCCTCCCTTCACATTATGAGTTGTCAGTCCTCAATTCTCAAGAAAAGGACTGTTGCATTTGGGGTACCCCAGGGAGTGGATGCAGCAGGGCAGGGATGCTCACCCTGGCTGGAGTGCACCACTAAACCCAGGCTGGGTTCAGGAGGGGGACGGGGTGGAGATGAGAAGAGGCTCAGAGCCAGAAAAACATCATTCTGGGTTACATTTCATCACCATGGCAACTTCTTGGAAACCGTACAGGATCTGAGCTCCTGAGCACCAAATAAGGGAAGCGGCTGTGGGAAGGATGCTGGCTCCCCGTGAGCAGATGGGCTCCCCAGGTGCTTGGGGATGGGGACCAGGGACCCTTGTAGCACACTGCCTTCTTGTCCTGGGACAGACCACCCTGTCTTGCTTGGTATCCTCCTTCCACTCTCTCCATCCCATGGCTTCCAGCCCCATGGTGCTGGAAAAAGGCTCAAATTCACTTTGCAAAACCAACCTCCTCCGCTGCTGGATGGATGCTGTGCTGTGTCAGGCACTTAGGAGCAACCTGCAAAGGCAGAAGCAGCATCTTTCCTCTGTCTCCCAGATCCTGCTGATGCAGGTGGCTGGTCCAGAGAAGGAAGGAGGATGCTGAGGAGAAAATCAGCACTAAATTCTCCTCTGTGAAATGGCCTCTCCTGAAGTTGGCTGCTGTTCAGCTTGCTCTCCATGTGCTGGTGGAGAAAGCTTGCACGCTTCCTAAAGATGGCCACACAATAATCAGGCAGTAGATCATGTCTTAGAGCTGCTTAGGGAAGAGTGGATACCTTTGTGATATTAAAAAAACAATTGGATATTCCTGCTTTTTCTCACTCTCACATAGTTTTTGCTTGCCTGTGGTAGAGCTAAGTTTGTTTACAGCTGGATGCTCTCAGAGCATCAAGGTAATTTCCAACTTCCCCCATCATTTTGCATCATCCCCTTGCAAAATCACCAAGGTAGGAGCAATGCAGGGAATACCACTCCTGCTGCAGACTTTTGGACAGGGAGTGTTAGATGTTTTCACTTTGCTTTGCAAGTAGGTTGCAGTTTGAGGGGGGAAAAAGCAGGTTTCTTCTGCAGCTTTTGCTGTGCTCCTTGCTTTTGTGTGCCTGCCTGCTGCCCATGGGAACCTGAGACAGGGTTTGGGGCTGAAATGTGGGATTTGAGGCTCTGCCCTGGGTTTGCACAGGGGTGTGGCAGGCTCAGGTAAGCAGAGCGTGCCCAGACACACCTCATGCAACCTGAGGCTGGTTTTGCTGATTTTGGTGCATTGTGCCTCTTGGAGTTGTTCATACCCCTGAGCAGCAGAGAGTTAATGTCTCTGCTTCCTCACAGATTTCTTTTTGGCCCACATCTCTGCCTAATTAAATACATATCTACAAATAATTACATGGGGGTGTGTATAAGAGATATATAAAGATATATATCCTGAGCTGGTGATTAGCTTTGGGCTTGGATCAATGAAGGAGGGTGTAGGGGACCTTGGAGATTGGCCTGATCCTCTGCTTGAGCAGGGTCCCCTTGAGCAAGATGCCCATGAACTCTGGATCATTTACCTCCAACACTGCATTCCTTTAGTGTGAAATTTCCCAAGGGGATTTTTTTTTAAACTGAGGACATTTGCTGCTTGTCATGTCTGTGCGTGGAGCCGGGACCCCCTGGGAGATCCCTGGTGGCTCCAGCACAGCCCTGCAAATGCCAGTGGAGGTGCAGGGCCAAAACCCACCTGATGTGGGAGGATAGTGGAGGATAGTGGGAGGAGAGGATAGAGAGGATGCTCTTTGCAGCCTTTGTTCCCAGCTTTCAGTTGCCAGTTCCTGTATCCCCCCCTGCTCCCTGGAAAGCAGCTGGAAAACTTCCCACAATCCAAAGGGGAGTTAATTGTCACTGATTTATTGGTGGCTTTAAGAAAAATAATCTGTGAATGCAGAAGCTTAATATGACAGCAGCAAAACATCTGCTAATGAACAAAGCCAAGGAAGGAGTTGAGAAAGCTGCTGCCTCTTCTGGGTCGCACTCTGAACCTGGGCTGCCTGGGCTGTGGCCACCAAAGGGGCATCATCTATCATCTGATGGACTCCAGAACTCCTTGTTAGAAGAGAAGTACTGAAGATGATGGGGAATGTTTTAAAAGGGCATAAAGCACTGACTCATGTCACTGTCCCATCCCTGTCCCGCTGTGACGTGTCATGGGCAGCACCCAAGCTACATGGAATTCACACCTCAGGGCCAAGCCCTTGTGGACCCTGAGTATGGAGTTGGGGAAAACTCTCCAATTTTCTGTGTCTCCTGGTTTTTTAGGAGCCTGGTCCTGCTAAAATGGCTGTGACCAGCAGCAACATTCCCAGCGCTGAGAAGATCCCTGCCACCAAGTCCACGCTCTGGCAGGAAGAAATGAGGGGCAAGGACCAAGCAGATGGGGGCAGTGGCATTGGCCCAGCCCAGAGCCCTATGCAAGGCCAGGCTGGGGCTGCCAGCTCCATGAAGGATCCTGTGCTGGACAGCAAGGAAGGTGAGAGATGGGGATGCCAGCACTGCTGTAACATTGTGGTGGTCGTGCCGTTGTTCTCCCTGGAACATTTGGGACTGGGGACGGGTTGCAGTGCTGGAGACATTTCCCTTATCTTGCCACTCAGATGGGGAATGTTCTCTGCAGTGAGGTGTCCGTTGCCTTGCACCCATGGAGCTGTGCTTGCTGCCAGGCTGGGAAGGACAATGATGGAAATGGATGCAGAGCTGTGACTGCAGCTGCCCATTTCTTAGTTTGAAAGTTCAGATCTTTCACCTCTACAAACCTGGCCCAAGGGTTGGATAATATCCCCAGCTCTCTGCAGACTATCCCACCATCTCCACTGGCGTGAGGGCTGGTCAGGGTGGAAGAGCCAAGGGTGCAGGAGAGGTATCACCGCATGGGGCTGCTGCCCAGACCAACTTTGCTCTCACACCTGCCCCTGTCCTGGGTGGAATCAGGGTGTTTGTTTCTTAAAAGCAGAACTTGGACTTGAAACCAAGCACAGTGATTTCTCTGTCCCTTAGAGGAGAGCTCCATGAACGGAGACCGGATAGACTGCGGGCGGAAGACGCGTGTCGAGAGCGGGTACTTCTCCTTGGAGAAGACCAAACAAGACTCGAAGCTGGAAGAGCAGCAACTGCCACCCCCGCCAAGCCCACCCAGCCCCAGCACCCCGAACAACAGGTACAGTTATCCCAAATCGCCCTCAGAGGAGCATGCCCAGCCCTTTCCTTCCCCAGGTATCCGATCAGGCGAACGAATGATTCACAGCTTCTTGGACTCGAAGAGCAGTTGTCCCATGCACAAGGACTCCAGCAACAGAGATGTAGGAAGGGGAGCTGAAAAATCGGGGCGTCCCCTTTCTTTTAAAGCCAGCCGGCAGTACACCACCCTGGCCGACGTTCCCAAGGCCATTAGGATCAGTAATCGTGAGGCCTTCCAGGTGGAGAGGAAACGGCTAGAGCGGAGAACCCGGGCTCGTAGCCCTGGGAGAGAAGAAGTGGCCCGACTCTTTGGGAATGAGAGAAGGTAAGGGATGAGTGGCTCATCTCCTTGCATGCTTCTAGCGGCAGTGAGGTTGCGTTCCCAGCGCAGCCTGGATGGAGCAGGTGGAGTTTGCTGGGTGGATCCTCTTTGTTTTTCAGTGCTCAGGGTTTAAGGGTGCCCATCCATGCCGAGCAGATGGTGGGATGTCTTTAATAGTGGTAGTGGGCAGGTGTCACCCTGCCTGGCTGCTCTGGGGATATAGAATGATTTGGGTTGGAAGGGACTTTAAAGTTCATCCAGTTCCATCCTCTGCCATGGGCAGGGACACCTTCCACTATTCCAGATTGCTCCAAGCCCTGTCCAACCTGGCCATGGACATTTCCAGGGATGGTGCAGCCACAGCTTCTTTGGGCAACCTGTACCAGGGCCTCACGACCCTCACAGGGAAGAAATGTTTCCTACAATTTAATCTAAACCTAGCCTGGTGTTGGGTGGTGTTGGATGCTCACACTGCCATCGAGCCCGCCCTGCCGGCCCCTCCCGGCGCGGCACACGCTGGCAGCCGGCACCATTAATTAGGTTAGCTCTCCTAGTGGCATTAGTGCCAGGTGCCTTACGCAACTGCCTAATGAGCTGAGAGAGGTTTCAAAATGTCACGGCATTAATCTGGGAGGGGAGGGAGAGGCGGGTGCGGTGCCAAGGCAGAGCTCAGCGGGCTGCAAAACAGCTTAGTGTGGAGGAGGACGGGGAGGGCGTCCGCAGCGCACGCCGGGTGCCCTCTGGGCGAGGCCAAGGACGGGCTCCACTCGCCCTGGGAGAGACACATTTGTGCAGCGAGGGCAGTAGAGCAAACTGGGAGACAGGCCCCGGGCGAGAGGGCTGCCTGCCAGTCTGATTTTCCTGCCCTGGTTCTCCTCCAGGCATGTTCTCTCTCGCACAGTTTCAGTAGGAGCTTTTCCTCTGTTTCTTCCCAGCCCCTAAAGGACTGTTTTCCAGACTGGCTTCCGAGAGCTGGGAGCAGTCTGGGATGTGCAACACAGCCTTGTGCTGCTACCAGCAGTCAGCAGGAGGATCCCAAACCTGGCCCACAGTGTGTGCGGGGAGTGCTGGACTGGGAGTAAATGAGGAAAGCTTGGATTTGGCTTTGTCTGCCTTGGGAATTGGCTTTTCCCCAGGATGGAGGGGGAAGATACCACCTTGGCCATCCTGGCTGGGGACAGGGCTGAGAAAAGGCTGGTGGCTCTGGTTTTCAGGCTGAGCTGGTACTGCCTGTGGGTTGTGTCCCTGCTGCATTTACTTGCACAGGATGCCCTGGCCAGTGCCTGTCCCCAGAGTGACAGAACAGACAGTGCATTCCTCCAGTGCCAACAGACCCTTGCTCTGGGATCCCAGTCCTGCAGCACTGGGATCATCGTGCACAGGGTCGGGGAGCAGAATTATAACAGATAACAGGGCCTGGGAGAGGACATTGCTGCCAGAGTCTGTCCTGTTTTAAAGTCAGCCCCACTCATTGCCTGCTGGTGGGTGCCTTTTCCCAGGGAAAGTCTGTTTTTCCCAGCCTGGCTAGGGCTGTTAACAGTTTGTTTTGCTTTATCAGTATTGGCAGCAATTCCCCTGTATCAGCCCAGGGCTTTTATCCCAGCAGAATGGGTGCAGGGGAGAGGAGCAGGAGCTGCACCAGGCGCTGGGGTCTTCCTGCCCACAGGGCTGAATCTGGTCCAGCTTTTGGGAGGGAGGTGATAGCAGAGAGAAAAGGGAGGGATCCCCACCTGCCAGAGGGTTTGGCCATGGATCACAGCCCTGTGCTGGAGGAGTGTGCCATGGGCAGGGATGGCTCAGTGGTGTTCAGGGATGGGCACGTTTGTTTTCTCCTCCGGTAACCTGGGAATTGGTTTGGTGCAGGTGGTGTGGGTGGAGAGCGCCTGTGTCCTGGATCTGGGACAGCCGTGTTGGAGCTCAGTGGACACAACAGGGCACAGAGACACTGTCTAGTGTTGCACCAGAGAATTAACATTCCCCAGCACCCTGCTCAGCTTGGCTTGGCTGCTTTTTAAACTTGAGTTTACTTAGTCCCCATGTCCCTGTCATTTTTCTCCTCTGAGCTCAGACTGTGCTGTTTGAGGCTGGGCAGATACAATAATTAATTTCCATGCTGTGTGGTTGGCTTTTTCCCCTGGTTTAACACCATTTGTAGTAATCCTTCTCAGTAACCCACTAACATGTCTGGGAACACTTCTCCCATGCCAACCCCACAGGCACCAGCCAGGCATGATGCAGATCTGCCCTTCAGTGCAGCCAAATGAACTCACTCAGATTCTGTTGGTATTTTCAACTCTTCCTCCCATTCTTTTTGTGTAAATTAGTGCAAGTGTCAGAGCTGTGGATGGAAAAGAATTATTTTAGGTACCCGGTGTTGCATCCTGAGTGCAACACCTGCAGGCTTAGCTCCAGATAAAGCCATTTGTCGAGGCTTCTCATCCTGTTTCCTTACCCCCAAAAATATTACATGATTTGGAATTCTGGAATTACATGTCCAGGAATTTTCTGTGTTGACCATTCATACCTGACACCACCTCCACGCCCCGTGCAGACGTCGGAGCTTGCAGCCACTCAGAACCAGGAATCGGGAAACAGGAGATAATCTCCGTGATTTTGGCAGAGCAGCAGAGTGCGAGTTCCCTCTGCTGGCATGTGGCAGGATGGGGCTGTGGTACCCACCAGGATGTCACACTGGGCTGGGGGACAGGGATTGAGGCCAGAGAGGTGGAGCCATTTGCAGTCTCCCCTTTCAGACCTGTCCTTAGGGCAGAAGGGCAGGGGCAGCTCTTTGGAAATCCCATGGATGAATCTCGAGGTGTTGCACACAAAAATCACAGCTGAAAAGAGCTGCAGGAACATCCTTAGACAGCAGTCCCCATGTCCCAGAGGGACTCTGCAGCTGCAGGGATGAATCTCTGCACATCTCAGGATGTCTGTTTGACAAACTTGGCTTTTTGTGCACAATTGCAGGGGCACAGCCTGTAAAACCACAGCTTTCCCAGCTGACCCCATGTTCCTCTCACAGTGGCAAGAGTTCACTGTGGTGTCAGCCACATCTGCTGTAGGAGTGTGGTCAGGGGCTGAGGTGTATTTCTAGCATCAGTTAATAGCAGAAATTGCCTGAAATTGCTTTAAAGACTTTTCTCACTCAAATTCCTTCTCTGGAGTTTTTGAGGTGTAAAGCTCTGCTCTGAATTCTGCTTCTCCCCGTACAGAGGAGCGCCTACTCTTCCAAATAAAGGTTTTTTCCTTGTAAAACTATCCTCATCATTCCTGTGGACCTCTTGGGAAATTCCTCTTCCTTTTCCTGACACTTGCTATCTTTCTTGCTGCTAAATAATGAATGAATCCAATAAAAACAAAGCCCTTTCTTCCAATCAAAGAAAATCACTTTAATGACAGCTCGTGCTGGTCTTTTGAGCTTTCCTTCCCACTGCACACCCCCTCCACTAACAGCTGAGATCTGCAGCCTGGGTTTAGTGGCCTGGAAAAGATTAACAGCCTGCATGGCCAAGGAATTCCTTGGGATGAGCTTTTGTAGTTGAAAAGCACTAAATGGCACTGCAGCTTTTATATAAAGCTTCTTCGTACCTGTCCCAGCCTTGTTTTGTGCACACAGAGCTGCTGTGTGGAGGGAGCAGCTCTATCCAGCACGTGGGGAGGGGAGGAGAGCCCTTCCTTCCCCGTCCCTCCAGGATCTCTGGCAGTAATCTCTCTGAAATGTTGATCTAATGGGATAAAAAAAAAGATTCTTTCCTGTAATCCGGATGATATTAACCCTTGGGGCTGTGATTTGGTTGCAGTGATTTATTTTTCTCCTCCCTTTTTCAATGATGAATGACTGGAATGATTTTGATTTTGTTTTGTATGTAGATGCAGATATATAATTTCCTCTTCTGTTCATTCATTTTCCAGCCTTGTTTTCTTCCAGGTCTTGTTGCTCTCCACCTTCTCCTGCTGTGTTGCTGTGTGACGTGTCCACCTTTACTTCGCCTGCTTCGCTACCATCTCATCTCAATCTCAAGCCGTAGAACAACTTGGTGGTGCAGCCCCTTTCATGAGAAATCAACCTGCTTTTGATTTTATTTATATGTTTTTTTGGTTGGGATTTTGTTCTTTTATTTATTTTTTTTATTCTCTTGATTTGTTTTTCTTCAGACCTTCACCTAATAGGGCACAGACAATGTTAATTCGTGGACCTTTTCCTCCCTCCTGAACTGAGACTCAGAGAAGGCTGGGCCAGTATAAAAAAGGTTAAAAAAATGTGGTTCCAAAACAATTCCATGTCTGTCAATGAACACAGAACATGGATTTATGCTCCACAGCCTGGCCTGTGTCAGGCATCTCATGAGCAGAACATCCCAGGGAAATTGGGAGCTCTGCATGAGCCCAGGATCTGCCCACTCCCAGTTTGCAAACTGGGAAGCACCAGGGGCTGAACTGATGTCCCCTAAAAGCATCAAAGATCTTTAAATTTACAAAGCAACCTCTTCCTCTTTGGTTGTGTCCCGGCAGCCTGGCTCTGAGCAGCAGTGGGAGGCCCCAGCCCCCAGGGCATGGGATGTGCTCAGACTGGTTGTCTCCTTTATAGAATTTGGTGCAAATATTGGTTGAAAACTGAACATCTCATGGTTTTTGAACCCTTAACCTGCTGTTCCTCTTTGTGGGAAGTGTTAAAAATGTTTTTATTTTGGATAACCTGTTCTCCCTCATGTGGTTACCATTGTGATTTTTCATGCACATCAGAGGCTCACACAGAGCAAGCAGCCCCAAGTTTAGATGTGGCACATGTGGGTCCAAATTTTGTGTCAAGAAACCACCTGGACAGAGCTTTTTGGGGAGGTTTGAAATGAAACTTTAAGCCTCACAGCTCAGAGCACAGCTGGCATGTGCTGGTGGTGGGTTATGGCTTTATATTCCCAGTTTGTGAGTGAAGACCTGAGGCTGATACTTTCCTCCTGAAGCCCCGGGAATGCAGACTTAGACACGAGCAGGTTCTTTGGAAATCGCTTTCCTGTGGGTCAGAAAGCAGCTTCTCATGCTGAAACAGCACTTCTAATTCCACCTGTTTGCTTGTCCTTAAGAGAATCCCTTTTGGGTTTGATCCAGGGTTGGTTCCTTCTCCATCCATTTCTTCATAGTTCTCCATTCTCAGAGACACAAGTGCCACGGTGCAATGGGCCTCCAAGACAGTGTCTGAGAGCCCAGGTTGTGCCCCCTGATGTCCAGATTGGATTTTCAGCCCAGTTAAGAGGAGGGAAAGGCCCCAGGTCCTTAAGGGAGTGTCCTGCCGTGGTACAAGGTGCTCCTCATCTCCTCGCACCCTTTCAGGTGGTGCGTGCTGTGAGCCAGAACCGTGGTCTGGGGGCACCTATGGACACCCCTTGCTCCGTGCCATCCTGTGCCTGTTCCCTGTGTGAGGCTGAGTTTTCAGAGGGTTCCTGTTGCAGTGAACACACTGGGGGACCCAGACCCACCCATTACCTCTGCACCCCAACTTGGTCTGATGTATCAGTGCTCTGGGGAGCAATTGAGAGCCCCAGTGCTAGAGGATAGAGGCAAAGCTTAAGCCAAAGCTGCTCCATAATTCCTGCTTCCCAAGGGGCTGTAAAATTCACAAATAAAAAGTTATTGCTGGTTTTGTGAGGGGTTTCTAGTTACTGAAGAAGATGCTAGGTGCAGAGCTGAATAATGTGAGGTTTTTTCCCACTTTGTGGGTAAAATGATGTCAGATCAGGGTTCTTACTCTGGATTTGGCCACGGTGGAACTCACAGAGAAACACGGACCAAAAGCCAGGTGTGCATGAACTCTGGGTCGAGCAATTCTGCGACCTTAAATTTGTGGGGTTGTACAGCTCCACAGAGTTGCTGTTCTTGTGTTTAAACCATCTCTGGTTTTCCTTTTGTCTCTGTTTTCTAGGAGATCCCAGGTGATTGAGAAATTCGAGGCACTAGACATTGAGAACGCGGAGCACATGGAAACGAACGCGTCAGGAGGCGCTGCCCTTTCCAGCGAGACGCGGCAGGGCAGGAGCGAGAAGAGGGTTTTCCCACGGAAGCGGGTAAGATGCTCAGCCAAGTTCTGGAAGATGAGACCTGGAATCCTGCAGCCCAGGATGGAGGGTTTAGCTACAGGTTTTGTCCCTGGATGTGGGTTTGGAGTCACAGGCAGCTCACACAGGAGCCAAACCTCTGTGTGTGCTCAGTCTGTGCAAATTTTCCTGCTCTGCTCCCTTGGCCTGGGTGTAGATCAGAGTGGAAAACCAGGCTGTCTCTTCTTTCTCCATAATACAAAGGGAAATTTCAGATCTGGCACGGCAGGACACGTCAGGATAGGGTGAACTAACAAAAGAAACAAGTTTGAGAGTCCCAGATATGCTTGGATATAATGGGAACAAATTAATGCCTGAAAGGACAAAAAATGTATTGCCAAGGAAATGACACTTGTTCTGAGCCTGAGATGCCCATTAAATAAAGCAGATTTTTATGCCATGAGCCAAGAGAGCAGGACTCTGTCCTAGTTCCTGCACTGATCTGGGCTAATGCTGTTCACACAGGACTTCACTTGTGAAGGAGCAGCCGTGGGCTCCATCCTGGATGTGTCTGCGTCACCTCTGTCCCCACACCGCCGGGCAAAGTCACTGGACAGAAGGTCCACAGAGTCCTCTATGACGGTGAGCCACCAGGGCCTTGGGGAGAACATGAGAGGCCCTTCCCAGAAGGTCCCACAAAAACTGAACTGTTGGCTGCTTTCCTCACAGCCAGCACATAGGATATGGGATGCATTCAGACTTGGAGTTTTGTGTGCTCAGGTGTGACCAATCCTGGAAGTGTCAGGGGCTCAGTTGGAGAAGGGCCACACCTTTTGCTTGTTGCAGAAATTAAAACTCAAGAGTCTTGTGAGGAGCACATTTCCTTAAAGTACAGCAGCATCTTGAGAAGCCGACCCTGTTCTGGTTATTTTCCCCTAGAATACCCCTTTTCCTCGATGGTTTGTGTGATGTGTCAGACACTCATGCTGTAGGTCACCCTAGCAGTGCTGAGGTCACCTCAGCTGCTCAGAGCCCCTTTTTGTCCCATGGTGTCCCCCAGCAGAGGCTGCAGCAGGGCATTTCCAGCTCAGCACAGGGTCAGTCCAGTTTCTGGACTCAGACCAGCTGCTGTGTCATGACTGAGGTATTTTCATAGGATCACAGAATCCCAGAATGGTTTGGGATGGAAGGGACCTTAAAAATCATCTTGTTCCAACTCCCCTGCCAGGGGCAGGGACGCAGACCAGGCTGAGCAAACACATGTCCCAGTTTTCTAATACCATTCCCTTGATGTTTATGCAGTTGGAAGTGGGTGTGAGTGGGATGAAGGCTGCAAGGAAGGGCTGAACCTTCCTCCTGAGCTTTCCTCCCTTTGCATATTTTAGATGCTCACCAGACCTGGAGGCAAACAGTACAGAATAAACACAAAGTGCTCTTCTCTCCCTCACCACCCTTCTGTAGGGACAAAATAAATACACTTGCTAATCTCTCAAATAGATTACAGAGCTACTGTAAATACAAGTTGCATTTTTTTGTGGATGGACAGCTTCTATTCAAGGACTTATCAGAAAAATGCAGTAGCTTGGTGTTTCTGGAGCTTTTCCTGTAGACTTGTACAGCCACAAGAGTGATTTTTAAATTCCTGGTGGGAATAAAAAGTGCAAGTACATATGAAGTGGCAATGCACATTATCCAGTGAAGGGAAGAAAGTAATGTGGGTTTAGATTAGATATTAGGAAGAAATTCTTCCCTGTGAGGGTGGGGAAGCTCTGGCACAGGTTTCCCAGAAGAAGAAGAGAAGCTGTGACTGCCTCATCTCTGGAAGTGTTCAAGGCCAGGTTGGATGGGGTTTAGAGCAGCCTGGGGTAATGGGTGGTGTCCTTGCCCATGGCAGGGGGTGGAACAGGATGGTTTTACTGTTCCTTCCAACCCAAAACATTCTATAATTCAGTACTTTACTTTCCCCTGCATTTTTGTGGAGCAGGACTGGGTTCCCACCACCATGGGCTCACTCAGATGTGGGATGTGCTGCCCCCCAGGTTTGATTGAATAGGCTCCCAGACCAAATTTCCATTGCTGCCCTTGCTGTAGCCCTTTTCAGATGCTGCAGCTGGATTTCACACACTGCTGTGCTTTCCTCTTCCACTCTGCAGCGCATGGAGCAGCTGGAGGAGCTCAGCCTCGGGGGAGTGAAAGCATTTCCACCACATCCTTCCCTGCACATGGGCAGGCCTGGGAGGAGGGGCTGGCAGCAGTTATCCTATGCTGTCCTGCTTGCTTTTTTCAGGAATTCAACATCCCCATGCACCCACAATGAAGGAAAAAGCAGGTGTCAATTGGGTGGTGCAGGGCTTGGATTCCCTGTATTTCCAGCCTTGGGAACTCAGCCTGTTTTGAGCCCTGCAGCCTTGCATCAATAGCACATAGCTTTTCTTTTATAATGTATAATAGAGGTAAAACTGCCTGAAGTCTTGCTAATTCCTTGTTTATCCTTTCTCTGTAATGCTGGTGTAGCAGTAGGAAATTGCAGGAGAAATGGTAGGAAGGGAACAGCCTGAATAAACTGCAGAGGTCTCCGTTCCTCCTGGGAGCAAACATTTAGCCACCATGCAGTGTAATAACTCAGTTTGTGCTAGATGACTTTTAAAAGGCCCTTCCAACCCAAACTATTCTATGATTCTATGAATTTAACTGTCTCTTTTATTGCTCTGCTGGTTTTATCAGCTCACTGCTGTTTGCCTTCTGGGTGCAGACACTTCTTCCCTCTCTTGATCCCTCTCTCCTTTCTTCCAGCCTGACCTGCTGAACTTCAAGAAGGGCTGGTTGACAAAGCAATATGAGGATGGGCAGGTGAGTCTGGAGAGAGCTCTGCCCTTTGTGTCAGTGTCTGGTGCTGTGGTCAGTCCTGGTTTCTGGCAGCTCACTCCAACGTGCTGGCTGTGCTGATGGAACCCCAGTGTCCTGGGTAGATCAGTACTGGGCTTCTCTTGAAGTGGGAATTGCTGGTGCTCTGTCCTGGGGATGTTTCAGAGGTGGATATAATATCGTGGGTTTCTAGGGAGCCAGGGCAGCTTGGATGGCAGCACTGGTTTCATGTTCCTGTTCCATATTTATTAGCCTCGTCTCCCTTGTGACCCAGCGCCCTCTTTGGTATCAGAAATGAGGCTCAGGTAAAGTCTCCTGAGTGCTAGGGAAATGACAATAAATAAATTAATTAATGCCTCTGAGGAAAGTAGCTGGTGCCACTTTCCTGCTGCCAGTTCCCAGAGGGATGCAGGATGCTCTGCTCTACTGGAGCCTTAGGAGTGGGCACTGGTGCCAAGGCAGCGTGGATGGCCCTGGCTGTTCACAAACCACCCCTTCCCTGGATTTCCTTCCCTCCTCCTCAGCTGTCAAGGGAAAATGAGGGCAATTTGCCTGTGGCTGTGGGTGGCCCAGGCTCTGCTGTGGGTACCCCTGGGTCCAAGCACACATCCATAGACAGCCAGAGGGGAATTGGCAGCTGGAGTGAGTGTTTTATTGACTGAAAGCTGCCTTGGGTGAGCCAGTGCTGGAAGCGTTCAGGAGGCAGATTTATATAGAGCAAGGGCCAGGAATAGACTCCCAGCTCAGTTCCTAGGTACTGCAGATAAAACATGAATGCTTTACTACTTTTCTTTTTTTTTGTCCGAAAAGGCTTTAAGTGCAGTTCCTAAAAGCCTCATCTTGCAGTGGAGCTAATGGGGAGGCTGCAGCTGCCCCATGGCTCTCACTGTGTCACTGTCACATGCAGGGTCTGGTACTCTGCAGGGTGGCAGCAAACCATCACTGTCCTTGCACTGCTGCCTGTTTGGGTCTCCCTTTCCCATGGAGGGGCCTTGATGAAGCCATGTGTGGAGCTGGGAGGGGCAGGCATTGAGATGCCTCCTGCACGGCGTCTCTGCCGGTTGACCTGTGATGAGCAGCCATGAATATGGTGGTGGGGAAGGAGCAGGATTGTAACTGTTCCATTTTTTTGTTTCCTAGTGGAAGAAGCACTGGTTTGTGCTGACTGACCAGAGCCTGAGATACTACCGGGATTCAGTGGCAGAGGAGGTCAGTGTCTTCTGTCAGTGTTCAACCCATTACAGGGCAGCTCCTGGTGTTCCCAAATGGACCCTGGGCAGGTCACTGCCTCCCTCAGTGCCCCCATTCCCAGGTGCCAAAGTCCTGGAGCCGCTTCAGGGCTCTGTGCTTCTCAGGGACCTGCTGTACCTCCCTGTGAGCCCACCATGCTTTGGGGCTGCAAAGCTTTGTGGCTTATTTTACCTCTTCCCTCTGCAGGCAGCTGACCTGGATGGAGAAATCGATTTATCCACGTGCTACGATGTCACTGAGTACCCAGTTCAGCGGAACTACGGCTTCCAGATCCATGTAAGAAGAATGTGGGGAGGAGGAGGAGTCTAGCTGCAGGACAGCTGACGGGGATGCTTGTCCATGACAAGGGGAACATCTCCCCTAACACCCAAGAGAGACCACTCAGCATCCCCCTGCAGTGCTCCAGAAGAGCTGTGGCCTTGGGTTTGAGAGCCAGTTTTTGTGGCTGTTAGAAAAGGAAGGGGGAAAGGGAAGGTTTTGTCACAGTCTCAGGGTCTCACCTCTGGCAGAATCAGCCTGATTGCTGAGAAATGCCAATTCCCACCAGGAGTGTGCTGGGGGATGGAGGGGCTGGGTTTGACCTCTGTGTAGCCAGCAAGCAGTGCCCCAGCACTGGGGGCTTGGGGATGGGTGCTGGGTGGTCTTGGGGAGTTGGGAAGCTGCTGGTGGGTGCAATCACGTGCTCTGAGCTGTTCTCTCTCTGTAGACAAAGGAAGGGGAGTTCACCCTCTCTGCCATGACGTCGGGCATCCGCCGCAACTGGATCCAGACCATCATGAAACATGTTCGCCCCACCACTGCTCCCGATGTAACGAGGTGAGGAGGGGCTGTAGCAGCCCCCGCAGCTTTGTGGTTTGCTGTGCAGGAGTAGCTCGTCCCTCATCCCTTTTCTTTCCTCTTTCTGAGCCTGTCTGTTCCTGGAAGCTGCAGCTCTTTCTCACACCTGTCTGAGCTTAATTTGGATACACTTTGTAGGGACGCTGATATGCCGAGTAATTCTTATGTGTGCAGATTTCCAAGAGGGTTGAAAATGTGGTTTTAATTTGTGCATAGGAATATGAAATACTGTTTCTATATCAAGGCTCCTCTGGATTCCCACCAGGTATTGTGAAACCACTTGGATTCAGTTGTGCTGGGTTCACCCTTTCCTCTGGCTACTGTTCAGTGTGAGCTGCCCTGCCCCTCTATGGGTCACAGCAGCAGGAGCCCAGGGTTCAGTTTAGAAACTGTTTGGCTCTGATCTATTTTAAACTCCAGCCAGGAAATCGTCTTCCCTCCTCTTCTGATCTTCCAGAAAGCTGCTGCAGCTCATCCCCTTAAGCTGTAGTAATGCTGGTATCTCCTCCTGCATCAGTGCCAGAGGAAGGGGACCTACTGCGTCACAGAGTACCTTCTGTGGGCGCTTCTGGCTGTGTGTACAGGGTGTTTGGCCTCCTCACAGCTGTCTGTGCTGGCCACACTCCTACAGGCCACCTCTTACAGGCTGCGTGGACATGGCTGCACCACTAACTCCATCTCCTGTCCTTACTGTAGCTGCAGCCAGCAGGTTTTTGCCAGGTTTATCCCTGTGTTGATGGAATGGCTCTTCTCACCCAGTGCTGTTGACCTGGAGATGCTCCAGCCTCTCCTTCCCCATCCTGCTTAGCCCTCAGCCACTGTTTTCCCAGCCCTGCCCGAGCTCTGGTGGATCTCACAGGGGTCTCGGGGAAGCCGCCTCTCTCCTCACTCCTGTGTATGTTTGATTTCCATGCAATCCCAGGAAAAACTTCTCTTTGAAACTATCCGTGCTGAAGCCCAGGTTGGAAAACTGTGTTCTCTCCTGTATTAACGTTCTGTGGTTTGTATATCTCGTGATTCACTGCATGCTCCTCCTTTTCTGCACCTCGGATGGGAAGTCCTGCAGTTTCCATTTATTTTTCTTTCTTTTCTTCCCCCCTTTCTTTTTTTTTTTTTTTTTTTAATTTTTTTTTTCCTTTAAATAAAAGCCAGAGAGAAGGGAAGAAGCAACCTGGTCTTGACCCTTGATTTCCCCCCACTGGTATCTTCCGATGTGACTAGATACGAAGATGAAGACCAAGGAAATTTGAGGGGACCTCTCTGCCTTTAAAGAGCCAGATGTATTTATGGTTGCTCACAGGTTACTGTAGCACGATAGCCCTGTGCTCACTGTCTGCACCTGCTCTGAGCCCACACAAAAGTGGTTTCACTTGGCTTTCTCTCCGAGAGGGTCCAGGCACAGGAGCTTGTTCTACTGCACAAACAGATCTTGAACCAGTCCTGAGCTGGGAAAAGCGAATGATGTGTGTGCTTCTGTCGTTTCCCACCGAGCTGGTGTCGGACGGGGTAGAGGCTGGCGTGGGTCAGTCGCGTTGCTGAGGAGTCCTGCGCTGTGTGTGGAGCGGGGCTGTGTTCACTGGTGCCTGCCTGGCAGCCCTGTGCAGCAGCGTGGGGTATCCCAGCCCATCCCACCTGGCTTTGGGATGTCATTGCATTCCTCAGCCGGGAAGCAGCGGGTGAAGGGGGCTGCTGGAAGGCTGAAGGACAGACTGCCCAAGGCTCAGCATGGAGGGGTGCCAGGCACAGTGTGGCCGGGGGCAGGCGGGGTGCTGTGCTCGGTGTGCCAGGAGGGCAGCGGTGCTCACCCACCCCTGGGGATGGTTCCACCCCACACACCCCTGCAGCCCTTGGCCGTGTCTCATTAACCTGCTGCCGTGGCTCCACCCAGCCAAATGCTCCTTGTCTTGGTTTCTTGAGCCCTAATGATGGTTTACATTGCTGCATGTGTCAGCTCCTGGTATGGGGAGCAAATGCTGCACTGCTCCCTGCCCTCAGCAGTGCCCTGCAATCTGCAGAGGCACTAATTACAGTCTGCTAATGATGATGGGGCAGATAGAAAATACCCCCAGAACTGGATACATGTTGAGCTCACAGCCCTTGTGAGGCTGGGTTCCCCAGTGCTCCCCAGTTCCCTGCAACCTTTGTGCCCTTGCTGCCACATCGTGCTCAGCGTGCAGCTTGCACCATTTCCACACCCACTCCTATTTAAAAATGCCTTTTTATTTTGACCTATAAATACCACTGGGAGGCAAAGACCACTCCCTTCTTGTGTGATATGAATTAATTTCTCTGTGGTGGAGGAGATGTGAAATGGTTGAGCAGAATTAATAGCCATGGGGCACTTGCAGGAGATGAAATGAGAAACTTTGGGTCAACCTTCTGAGTGTCTTCACTTCATTCCCAGCAGCTGTCTCTCTGTTCCCTGACCCACATCCCTTGCCCTTAGGAAAGGAGCAGAGGAGAAATGAGCTCGTGAGAGATGTCACTACTAGAAATGCCAAGATTCTCCCACGTGGGATTTAAAGAGGCAAAATTTCTGTGTCCAAACACCATATGGCAGGCCCCAGGACCCCCATTTCTTTCCTGACACTCTTCTCCATTTTAAGAGTCAATCTCATCCCTGCTTTACTTCAAAATGCAGCTGTAATGACTGACTCCAGATTGAGAACCTGACTTTGGAGTCATGCAGTATCATGGGTGAGGAGCAGTGACATTTCATTGTTGTGCCTTCTGGGTTTATTTTATTAGCTGCAAGTGACAGCACTGAAGAAGGAATTATCTCTGAGCTGGTTTTAGCCGGTAACTGCCAGAGTCTCTCAAAACCCAGCTCTACTGAGTGTGTGGTGTGCTGCTGGATGACAGTGCATCGGAAGATACTAGCCCATGCAGAGCCATCTCTTCTGCTCCATCCTTTGTTTTGGGCGTGTGCACATCCATGAGGTTCTTGGCTGGGGGCTGGGGTGTGTTTCTGCGGTGGGAGAAGCCGTGATGCTGCTGTTGCTGCTGCTGCTGCTGCTGTTCCTGATCACGGCAGTCCCCATGCATGTGGTCCCATGGGTCAGAGCTTGTAGTGAAAGGCCCAGTGAGCTGCTTTCCAGCTCTTGCAGAAAGCTTGTCGAGTCCCTGCTGGAGGCTGAGGATGCTGTGGTTGTGCTGGAAGCAGGGAGAGACCGGAGTCAGCCTGGGCAGCAGGACTGTGCCTTGGGAGGCAGCTTTTGGAGCTTTGGGTAGCAAAGAGAGTTCAGCAAGTGCCCACTACTCCCTTGGGACAGGCTTCCTCCACAGACTTAGCATACTGCTGTTTTCTGGTTTAATTTTGATCTGCATGTTACAGGGCTGGCATGTCTGTATTTAAAAAGCTAATACTGCATTGTGGATTATAGGTTAGAAATGATATTGCCTTCCTGTATTAACTTCCCCTGCTTGATGAGTGTCTCCCCTCTCAACCCACCACCCTCTAACTCAGCATTAAAAATAATTCCTTGCTTGAGAAATTGGCATTTTCAGTGATTTCTGTGGTGTGTTGAGTAACATGCTCTCCTCGCTGCACTCACCCCTGCCCGTGTCAGGGGCTGCCCAGTGCCAGGGGGGCTGGGTGCCCTGGGGAGGTCTGTGCCTTCAGTGCAGATAGTGGCACAGAGAAGTTATGGACCCATTAATAGTTTTCCAAGCTGAAGGGGAACCTTACCCTTGTTTCCCAAGACTCTCAGAGCTGCTCTGTGCTTCTCTGCCCCACACCTCTGAAGCCAGCCTGGCTTTGGTGGGATTGGTGGCATCTTTCCCACAAGCACATGACTGTGGCTGTGTGGGGAGTGCATGGAGCCTCACAGCCGGGGGGCTGGAGGAGCTGTTGGAGCCTCTGACAGCGCAGTTTGGGGTCGCTGCCTCAGCCATGGGTTGCTGCTTGGTCATGGTCACTGGCCCCAGTGTGGCTGCTGAGGAGGAACAAGGTTGGGATCAGCCGCTCTCCGGGTGCCAGGGTGTCCCAGGAGCAGCTGGGAACGCTTGCACCAAGGCTTTGCACACCAGCACAGCCTGGGGAAGGGCAGCAACAGCTCCTGCACCCGAGGGCCGAGGGGAGACGGAGGGGCAGGGTTCACCCACGTGGCATTGGCTTGGGCTTCCAGCAGCCCTTTTCCACCCGGCTCTTTGAGGCATGCATGGGAGCGCCTGGCTGTCTCCAGCACCCACTGACACTTTCCTTCGCCCTCTCTCTGTCCTCGCAGCTCGCTGCCGGAAGAGAAAAGCAAAACAAGTTCTTCCTTCGAGACCAGTCCAAAGCCGAGCGAGAAGCCGGATGTGGAACAAGCTGAGCTGGACACGGAGCAGAAGCGGAGCCGTGCCCGGGAACGCCGACGAGAAGGACGGTCCAAGACCTTTGACTGGGCTGAATTTCGCCCCATTCAGCAGGCCCTGGTGCAGGAGCGTGCCAACGCTGCAGACTCCTCCAGTAGCAGCTCGGCCGCCTTCCCCAGGGACACCGGAGCCGCCGACACCGACCCGGGAGAGCTGGAGCGGGAGCGGGCCCGGCGGCGGGAGGAGCGGCGCAAACGCTTCGAGATGATCGATGCCGTGGATGGGGCAGGGTCAGAAGAGGCACTGAGGATGGAGGTGGACAGGATCCTGCCCGTCCCAGCAGACATCAAGCCACAGAACGTCCACGTGGAGATCGAGCAGCGCTGGCACCAGGTGGAGACCACCCCTCTGCGGGAGGAGAAGCAGATCCCCATCACACCCCTGCACCTCGCCCACACCGAGGAACGGGAAGAGGGGCTGACGAAGCAGCACCTGACCACACTGCTGGAGAAGGAGGTAAAGGGGTGTGTATGGTGCAGGCTGCCTGCCAGAATGGCCACTGAGGCAACTGTAGGGAGCCTGAGATAGGCTTAAAAATAGCCATAAATATTTCTCCTTCATAACAGCAGCTAGTAGGGATGCTATAGGTTCCTTGGGGAGCTGGCATCAGATCTGCATCCATTCCTGTTCAGCCCTGCCAGCTGCAGAAAGGGCTTTCTTATAGCCTGGTACTTCCTTACCCCTCCAGCCAACACAGCCTGATTTGTGGTGGTTGTAGCCAGCCTGTCTCTGACAAAATGGGTACAATCAAGGTGTTTCAACCAGACTACAAATTCAAGCTCCTAATCTTCTGTGTCTCTGCAGCTGTAGAGATTTGTGTCTGCAGTTACAAACTGCCTTGAGTTGCAGCACACACCACAAAGGCTCACTTTTTGTGAAGCCTACATAAAATAGTCTTCAAGATTTTTGGAAAAGAATGGAGGAGGCTCAGCTCACTTGGAAGAGTTCCGTGCCTGGGGTAACAAAGGTTGTTGTGAGTTGGAATTAAGGTGTATTAGTGGGAATGAAAGGGGTAACCTTTTCTTATGGAGTAACCAGGAATATCACCGAGCTGAACTGGGCTAGGATTTGCCAGGGTCGTGCCTGGCATGAGCTGGTACCGTTCATCCTTTGCTGCAGTGAGCTTTACGAATTACACTATTGCATAAATAAGTTCTTTCAGAGGGGAGGGATTTTGAAAAATTAAATCCAGGTCCCAGAGCAGAGCAGCAGTGCCATCAAAAGCTCCGTTAATTCTGCTCTGTGTCCCCTCCGAGTCACTTGTTCCTTATGGCTGATCCTCTGCCCACTCCCTGGACCCTGTCTCTGTTCGTGTCCCTCCAGCTGGAGCAGAAGCAGAAGGAGGCCCTGGAGCTCCTGGAGCAGAACCGGCACCTGCAGGATCAGCTGAAAGTGGCTCTGGGCCGGGAGCAGAGCGCCCGGGAGGGCTACGTGTTGCAGGTAGGAGAGCAGGGAGGAGAGGGAGATCCATCTTTCTTCCCTGTGCCCGAGGGATCCCTGGTGGGCTTCCGTCTGCGGTGTTCGTGGGGACATCCTGGGTGACCACCACTGCGCTCCGAGAGATTTGACCTTCTTGCAAACGTGGCTAATTCTGTAGCATTCCCAGAGTCATCTGCTTATGGAAACCTCTGATCTGGGATGGAATAGAAGGTAGCATTACCTGTTAGCATTCCCAAAACAGAGCCAGACAGAACAGGACCTCAGCAAAGTCCACCTCTGATCCATCCCTTACTGTGTTTGCCTTTGCAACAGCTGTTTCCCCCTTTCTGTGCCCCAGATACTCCCCTCAGGCAGTGGGGTACATACAAGGCTTTCCAAGCATCCTATTGCTCACCAGTTACTCCTGGCTGTGGATTTTGTGTTACAGGGGCAAACACAGGACATTCAGATGTATCTCCTGAGCACATTCCTTCCAGCCAGAGTGGGATTTGCACTGGGATGACCTGTTGCCTCACATCACTTTGGTGATTTCTGCTGTCACTAGATTTCTTAGCAAAGCCTAGAAATGAGTTTTGGAGGATCTGGCAAGAGACAGGATGGTCTTTGGGGAAACCTTTCCTCCCCTTGTCCATACGAAGCAGGTTTTTCTGAGCATTTCCTCTGGGAACATCCATGCCTGGAGGAAGTCATGGCACCTACAGGGCAGCTTCTGGCTGCTCTCAGGGGTCCATAGTCTTGTTTTGTGCAGGGGCAGCATTTTGACCTGCTCAAATCTGCGTGACCAAACTGGCTGTGAATCAAAATCAACGTGTGTGGCAGCACGCTGCGCTCCCGCGGCAGCAAATCCAGTGTCGATGCCAAACCTTGCATCCTTATTTCTCACAGGAAAATTTTCCCCGAAGAAGTTGCACAGGCAGTGGAGCCAGCCCAGGGAGGGGGACATCTTGCCTTCCTTGCCCATGAGCTCCCAGGAGGAGTAATTAATTCATTTCTGAAGTCTCCGAGCTGACAGTGCCTGCTTGGAGGAGTTCCATTTTCACTTGGCAGAGCTGGAAGAGTAACTAACTCCCACTTCCCTGGGGCAGAGGTGTCTGACCTCCCTTTGCCTGGAGCCTGGAAAAATCAGGGAATGAGGATAAAAGCTGGATGCTGAATCCACCATCAGATTGAAGTTGGCCGCAGTGCCTCGATACGAGGAGGGGCGGCAAGAGGGGAAGCCCTGCAGAGAGGCTGAGCTGCAGTGAGAAGTGACCCAAACTTGGACCTGGAAGTTGGAGAGGGTTTTTGGAAAGGTTGGAGGCTTTTGCCAGCTCCAGTCTAATTGTTCTGGGGATTTCCCTTGTGTTTACTGGGAGCCAGAGGGATTAAAGTCCTATTGTAGAAGGGAGTAACCCCACCAAACCCTGCTGGGGTGGAGGGAGTGGAGCTGCTGGGTGAATTCTGCAGCCCCAGACTGCAGACAAACATCGCAGCACTTTCTTGGACAAACCCTCTGAATTTCATGTGCCCCTCCACCTTCCATCATACCTGATTCTGGGGAGGTTCCTGCATTGTCTATGAGGAGTGCTGATGGAGAAGCCTGACTGCTGCCAAGCCCTTCCCTCCTGAGCTGCCTGGGAGGCACCAACCCCTCCTTGGCAGCCTGACCAGCTCCACACGGACCCCCAGGCACCACCTGTTCTGTGAGGCAGTGCTGAGCCACCCCTCCAATGCATGTGCCGTGCACCGAAGCCTCTCTGGCCTCGTGTAACCCCTCTCTTGCTCTGAGCTTACTCGGGACGGGACACCCTATCCTTGATCCCTACTGGGAAAAACACCAGGAGCTCCTGCTCCTGGCAAATGGGCTGGAGCCATCCCTCAGCTCTGGCCACGGTGGGTGGGAGGGGGCACGTACTAACCTGTCCTGGGCGGATGTTCTTGCATGTTTTTGGTGTAAAGCATGAAATTTAACTTAACGTAACTGAGTGTCACATCTGTGGGCTTTCCTTAATCAGCAACCAGAGAACAGCAAGGCAGGCCAAATTCCTAGGCTTAACGCTGTGCTTCTCTCGCCTCTTCCTGTCTGTGTATTTTATTTTTTTTTTTAAGATACATAGTTTCTGTCGCCTTTTGCATGACGCTTTCTGTGAGTTTTCTCTTTGCATGCTCCATTGCTTTGGTTTGAATCTCACAAAGGTTGGTTTCTTTCATTTTTACATTCTCATCACACCTTTTCCTTCCCTCCATTTGTCGGGCTTTTTATTTTGTCCTTTGTTGGTTTATTTTGCAGGTAGATAAATTAGATCCTCCCTAGCCCTAAGCTTTAGCATAACAGCATCTCTCTAATGCGATGAGCAGCCACTCAGTCCTGTTTGGCAGGCACAGAAATGACATCGCCACCACAATGGCTGGCCGGTCGCCCTGTGCTTGGGTGGGATGTGATGTCATTTGCTGTCACCTCACTTTCTGTTGTTGCTTTTGGTTGGTAGGACTGTGTTACCTGAACTGTGCACTTTTTGTTTCACAACCAAACAAACAAACTTGCTAAAAAAAAAACAACAAACCAGTTCCTTTCTCCTCCACCTTGTTCCATCTCCTCCTCATCCTTGGCATTTTTCTTTTGTCTGTCTGTCTCCGTTTTACTGCCGGTGTTTCTTTTTCATTGTTTTTTTGATTCTGTTTGAGTTTGGGTTTATTTTTTTTTTTTTTTTCCATTTAGCCTGTTACTGTACAGCTGTTTTGATGTCGTGGTCAGTGTTTTCTGTTACTGGAAAGCAGTTGTCGCTCATTGAAAAAAAAAAAAAAAGCAAAAAAAAAAAAAGCTGGTTAAACAAACCAAATTGTGCCAAGAACAAATCATCCCAATTGGAGCAGTGGGTAGCAGCCAAGTCGCTGCAAGGAGCTTTTCCATGGCCTGCCTGGCCAGAGGTGTGACACTCAGAAGGGAGAGCCAAGAGTGTTACTAATCTAGTATTTAATCAATTTCTTTAAGACCGAGGTGGCCGCCTCGCCATCAGGTGCCTGGCAGAGGCTCCACAAAGTCAACCAAGACCTCCAAAGTGAGCTGGAAGCCCAATGCCAGCGTCAAGAGGTGATAAATCAGCAGATTCAGTCGCTGAAGCGCAGCTACGCCGAGGCCAAGGACGTGATCCGGCACCACGAGGCCGAGATTCAGAGCCTGCAGGCGAGGCTCAGTAACGCGGCGGCCGAGCTCGCCATCAAGGAGCAGACCCTGGCCAAGCTCAAGAGCGACCTGAGGAGCGAGAAGGAGAAAGCCAAAGAGCAGCTGGAGGAGTGGCAGCACGGCGAGGCCGCGCTCAGCTCCCAGCTGAAGGCCAGCGAGCAGAAGCTGAAGAGCGCGGAGGCTCTGCTGCTGGAGAAGACCCAGGAGCTGCGGGACCTGGAGATGCAGCAGGCTCTGCAGCGGGACCACCAGAAGGAAGTGCAGCGGCTCCAGGACAGGATCGCAGACCTCAGCGGGCAGCTGAATGCCAGCGAGCAGGCACGGGTCCTCATGGAGGAGAAGCTGCAGAAGAACTATGAGGCTTTGCTGGAGAGCTGTGAGAGGGAGAAGCAGGTTTTGATACGGAGCCTGAAGGAGGTGGAGGACAAAGCCAACGAGTACGAGAACCAGCTGCAGAACAGCGAGCAGCAAATGGAGATTCTGCAGAAGGAGAAGTTGAGCGCCAAGTTCGAAGGCAGCGAGCTCGTCCACCAGCTGGAGGAGCAGCTGGCCATGAAGGAGGCCAGCATCCAAAAACTTGCAGAGCACATCAAGGAGCTCGAAAGAGAGAGGGACCAGATCAAGTGCCGGTTCCACGAGCTCATGAATCAGGTGGCCGAGTCGGATAACGAAGTTGCGAAGCTACAAGCAAAGTTGAAAATGGAAGAGACCAACTACCACAATCTGGAGCAGTCGTTCGAGGAGGTGTCAGATCAGTTCCGGGGGGTGCAGGAGGTCCTGAAAGAGAAAGAGGAAGAGCTGAGACACGTTAAGGAAATGCACTTGAGAATTGTGGAGAAGAAAGATCAAGATCTCAGTGAGGCTTTGGTTAAAATGGTTGCATTAGATAGCAGTTTAGAGGAGACTAAAGTAAAGCTAAAGGCCAAGGAGGAGGCTTTAAAGAAATTAGCTAGTGTGGGCACAGGGCCATGTGCTGAGGAGGCAGAAGACCTTGGCCCCAGTCTTGAGGCTGACGAAAGTCATCCATCCCAGCTGGGGCAGGCTCTGCAAACTCAGGATGTCCTCCCAGCTCTGAATTATGCACTGAAGGAGGAGGAGGAGGAGGAGGTTCTTGAGACCAGTCAGAGGCAAGTGGAGGAATTTGGCTCCCCATCTAAAGTTGTAGAGCTCCAGGACCAAGAGTTGATTCAGAAAGCCTTAGCAAAGCCTGATGTAGGAATCATGGGGGCCAAGAGGCAAAGGATCCGTTTTTCAAGCATCCAGTGTCAAAAATACATCCATCCAGATGGATCAGAGAAAAACTGGACAAGCAGTACGTCTTCAGACACAAGCCAGGACAGATCTCTGTCTGAAGAAAGCATGTCCTCAGAGCCAGCTCTGGGTTACCCCTCATCAGGGACGAGCGATTCTGAGACTTATCTCTCCATCATCCATTCCCTGGAAACCAAACTGTATATTACAGAGGAAAAGCTCAAAGATGTGACGATGAAGCTTGAAAGCCAGCACGGCCATAACCAGGAGACACTCATCGCCCTCCACCATCAGTGGGCCAGCACGGAGTCCCAGCTGCGGGAACAGCTTCAGACCAGCCTGTCCCAAGTCAACGCTTTGATCTCACAGCTGGAGAGTGAGAGGCAGGAAAAGTTTAAGCTGATAGAAAGTCACGTCAGCGAGCTGGGAGGTTTCCAGATGAAAAACGATCAAGCGCTGACTTGCTTAGAGAAGTGCAGGGAGCAGCTAAGATCCTTGCCCAAATCAGACAAGGAAAAAGAGGGTGATTTGTTCCTTGTTACTCTGTCCAGCATGGAAACAACTTTATCAAACGCAATCCAAGCCTTGAGCGGGGCGCCAGTCCCATCGGAGTATCAGCAGAGCGAAAGCCTCACCACGGAGAGCCCCGCTCCAGAAGGAGGGGATGTGGGAGAAGAGGAGCACATCCCCAAGGAGCAGCAAGCAGATGTGTTTGACACTGGCCAGCTGAGGTGGCTTTCTGAGAGGGTGGCATTTGAGGCCTCTCTCATCAACCAAATAGCAGAGTCTTTGAAAAATGCAAGTTCTGAGATAGCCCAGCTTCTGAGAGAGATCCAGGGAACGACCGAGGTGGTTATGTTGGAGCCAGCAAGTGTTTCTCATACAGCCAATGATTTGGCCAGCGTCCTGTCTAAAAAGCTGCTGCTGGAGGGGGAGTTCTGGAGCCAGGTAGAGGAGCTGAGAGCACACTTGAGCACTAGAGAAGGAGAAGCTGAGGGTAAAACAGAAACAAATTTGGGCTTTTCCCCGTGTTTTCTCAGTGCTGTAGCAGATGCTACATTGATCAAGGCAGAACTTGGGTTTGTTGCAGAGAAAATGAGAGAATCTTTTCATCAGAGGTTAAAAACAATTGAAGAAGAGCTCCATAATACCAAAACAGCTCTCCAGCAGCACAAATGCATGTTGGAGGAGATCATCAAAGCATACAGGACTCCTGAGCTTGACAGAGTTATGCACCAGATTTCTGAAGCACTTGAAATACAAAAAGATGCTTCGGAAAGAACCCAGATCTCTTGGGATGGGAGCCGTCTCCAAATGGTGCCGTGCCAGGAATTAGCCAAGGTAGAGGAGACTGGCAGCGCACCAGACTGTAGTAGTGAAGCTCTTGTTTCCATTCAGGAAGATCTTGCCCAGCAACTGAAGGACAAATCCAATGTTCTGAAGGAGATATCTGTTGCCTTACTCTCTCTGCCTCCCGAGGAGGCCATGAGAGACTGTCAGAAGCTCCTGAAGATCTCCCAGAGTCTTTCCTACCATTCGTGCATGGGAGACCTGGAGCGGTATTCATCTTTGTTAGTCCACGATGCCATTGTTCAGGCTCAGGTTTGTTACGCCGCTTGCAAAGTCCGGCTGGAGCACGAGAGGGAGATGAAGTCCTACAAGGAGTCCTTGCAGAGCATGGATGCGCTGTGCCAGGAGCGCGTGAAGACGGTGTCTCTCCTGCGGGACGAGTACGAGGAGCTGCTCAGGAAGCAGCAGGGCGAGTACAGCGAGGTGATCGCCGTGCTGGAGAGGGAGAACGCTGACCTCAAGGCAAAGGTGTCCCAGCTGGACAACCAGCGGAGGCTCTTGGAGGAGGAAGGGCATGAACACAGCAAGAGCTTGAGCGAGCTGCAGGGGCGGTACGAGGAGGAGATCCGTAACGTGATAGAGCAGCTCAGCAGGACAGAGGATGCCCTGAAGGCTGAGAGGATGGATGGGCTCAACCAGCTGGACGCCGTTGTCCGCGACAAGCAGAACATGGAGCGGTGTCACCTGGAGCAGATGCAAACTCTGGAGGAAAAGTTCCAGGCAAAGATCAAGGAGCTGCAGGTCATCCACGGCGAGGAGCTGCAGGCGCTGCAGGAGCACTACAGCCAGAACCTGCAGCGCCTGCAAGAGACCCTCGATGAGTACCAGAGGCAGCACCCAGAGGTGTCCCCCGCGGTGACCCGAGGCGCTGGGGACACCTGGGCAGCCGGTGAGGCTGGTGGCACCAGGCAGGACCCCGGCAGCGACCCGGACTCCATGCACGGCCTGAGGGAACGCATCCAGGAGCTGGAGGCCCAGATGAATGTCATGAGGGATGAGCTGGAGAACAAACATCTGGAGGCGAACGCTTCCACTTTGAGGGAAAAATACCAGAAAGACTTTGAAAACCTAAAGGTCTTGATATGTTTAACACTTTCTGCCTTCTGCTGCTGAGCGTGCGGGAGGGCGCATGCAGTCCTGGGGTCTGTTTGCCGAACCAAGGGCCATCCCCTAAAAGAGCTAGCATGCTGAAACAAGCCCCAAAGTATTAGCCAGGCTTCTGTAAAGCATGATGTTTCCTTTTTACTCCTTGCTGGGGTATTCTAAATGCATTGCTGAGGGCTTGGGAGGGTGGATTTCTGGAGGTGATCTTTGCGTGGAGAAGGGGAGAGAGAGTTTCAAAGTAGCTCAATAACATCACGATCTCCTTCAACACAAAAACCTCAGTGTTTCTCTTTGTACCCAACACAGACATTTTGTTTGTGACTTCCCTTTAAAAGCATTCCTCAGCTCTATCTTTCGCAGTCTGATCAAATCTCCAGTCTGTCTCTGCTGCCTTCAAAAATGCAGGATGAAATGGAAACTTGATGCTCTCAAAATGTATGTTCCTAGGGAAAGTAGCTGCAAACAGATGCCAAATTCTGTAGCAAAGCAGAGCTCCTCTGCAGGAGGCTGTGAGGACCATGCTGGTGTTGGACACAGTAATTCTGTATACAACAAAGAGTGCACAGTTACGGAACACGCAGGTGAGGTTCAGAGAAACTCACTGGCAATGAAATGCCACCATTCAAATTGCCCCACCAGTCAGACTGGCTATAAAACTGGTTTGAGATCATCCAGCATCTTAAAAATAAATGGGTTTGGTGGTTTGCTTTTCCTAGGAGAGCATTCCCAGTTCGGAAGCGAGCTTAGGGCTGTAGAGGACTCTGGCAGCACCAAGGGAGGCTGCCGGGTTGAAGCGGAAGCCAAAAAGGCAGTGATGCAGGGATTGGAAACCTGCTCAAACTAGAGGTTTAAGTGTGCTCCATTCTTCTCTTAAGAACCTGATGGAGAATATGACATCAGTAGTGCAAGAGTAACTCTTCAACCTGGAGAAGAGAAGGCCCCAGGAAGACCTTGGAGCCCTTTCCATTGCTTAGAGTGGCTCTGAGAGAGCTGAAAGGGACTTTTGACAAAGGCATGAATTGACAGGACAAGGGGGAATGGCCTTTAGATGAAGGAGGGTAGATTTAGATTTAATATTAGGAAGGAATTCATTCTGGTGAGGGTGGTGAGGCCCTGGCACAGGTGGCCCCAAGAAGCTGTGGCTGACCCATTTTTGGAAGTGTCCAAGGCCACATTCAAGGCTTGGAGCAACCTGGGATAGTGGAAGGGCTCCCTGCCCATGGCAGGGGTTGGAATAGGATGGACTTTCAGGTCCCTTACAACCCAAACCATTCTGTGATTCTATGAGATACTGATTTGTATATGTGGATTTATGGCAATGCATTTACAATACATTAAATAGTGAATCTACAGCCAGACCTGTGGCAGAGTATGCACCTTTTTCTTCCAGAATTAGAGGTGTTTCAGGAGTTGGACTTGATGATCCTTGTGGATCTCTTCCAACTCAGCATATTCTGTGATTCTGGGTGTAATGAAGAATCCTGCAGGACTGCTCTGTGCCACAGCCAAGTCCAGGCAGGTTCTGGCACTGAGTAAGGAGTTTAAAAAAACAAATAAACAAACAAGGCTGGGAAAGTGAAGAATGCCTCAAGATTAAAAATTAAATGGGAGGGAAAAAACCACCAAGCTGAAAATTGAGAATGAGGATTAGGTGTAGGTAACACAGCATTAGCCAAGAAATTGATGCTGATGGGTATATGTTAGTGAGGATCAGTGGTGTTGGACTGTCCTGAGCACTTTTGCCACTGGGGGAGTGAATCTGTCCCCCTAAAATTTCCCATGGGGTCCCAGAGGTCCCTAGGTGACAGTTCTCACTTTCCACAGAAAACACTGATGTTAATCAAGGTGAGCTCAGTTGAAGTTGGGGAATAAAGCCAGCCTTTGTCGTTAAGGGGAAAAGCCCTGTGCAGTGTTTGGCATCAGGTTTGTCCCAAGCTGCCTGATGGGGCTCAGCACCTTGTCCCCACTGTGTGCCTCTTCTTCCCTCGTGGCTTGGGCCTGCCTGTGGCTTTGCTGGTCCTGTCTGTGTCCTGCAGCCGTGTGTCCATCCAGGATCCTGATATGCTTGGGCTGGCAGCTGAGCTGGGAACAGGCGTTTGCATTTGTCTGCTGCAAAGGCAGGAGTGGGGGCTGTGCCAGGGGCAGAAAGACCAGGCAGGAATTCAGGACCTCACCCCTGGTGAATCCCAACTCCCCAAATTGTTCCTGGCCCAAGTTCTTTCCTAGTAATTCAATTAGCAAGTAATTTTCCCTGCAGCATTTGTAGCAATATTCGGTTGGGAGTTGAGATCCTGTTGCTGTTAAGTCATTTTCTTTCCACTCAGAGGCTGGAAAAAACAGGCATTGAAAAGAACAGAAGGGGCACAGAAGGTTTTTTTGGTTGTTTTTTTGGACATACGTTTTCAATCCCCAACTGGGTCTGCCCTGTGTATCCCTTCACAGGACAAGCCCTGACCTTTGCGAGGTCCATCCTGCTCCATGGCTGGGGAAGCAGAAGATCCCTGCTGGACCTGGGGAGCTGAGCTGCCCCTTGGTGTGTGGCTCCTGGTGGGCTCCCCACCGCTGTGGCACCGGCCCTGTGCACCTGGGCCGACCCTTTCCCCTCCTCCCTTTGCAGGCAACATGTGAGAGGGGCTTTGCAGCCATGGAGGAGACACACCAGAAGAAGATCGAGGACCTGCAGCGGCAGCACCAGCGGGAGCTGGAGAAGCTGCGGGAGGAGAAGGATCGCCTGCTGGCAGAGGAAACGGCTGCCACCATCTCAGGTACCAGAGGGTCCCCATGGTGGGGTGGGTCAGTGGTGATGGGGACACGGGAGTGGTGTTGGCTGCATTGAGGAGCAGAGCAGGGATGGGATGAGGGCTGGGTGGGCTGCACAGGGAGATGGGAATGGGCTTGTGGGAAAGATGTTTTAGATGGAGGTCCATCTCCTGGTCATCCAGGTTTGGTGCCCATTTCCTGGTCCTTCTCCAGGGTAGATACCCCTCTTTGGATGTTACACGGTCTGATCTGTTTTCCATTCCAACTCCAAAGGGCATTAGTCATTCCTGTTGTCAAATGATTGCCAATTCCACACTGAATTCATTCTTCAGGGGCACTGGGAATTTTAAAACACTGGAGTTCAGTGGCTCTGCATTAGGAGTCCCACAGTCCAGGAAACAATGTGTGAAGTGGACAGTCATTTGGACTCTGTTAAAAAGTGGGATTTGCAGAAGCCCCTTTGCAGCTGGGGCACAGACTGAAGGAGCCGTGAAGCAGTGGGAAATTTGCAGGGATATCTTTGGTTTTGCTCCTTTAAGAAATGAACAAAACCTCAAAAACCCACCTGAGGGTGGAGGGTGCTGGGTGCTAACACTGTGCTGGCCCTCACAGCCATCGAAGCCATGAAGAATGCGCACCGGGAGGAGCTGGAGCGGGAGCTGGAGAAGTCCCAGCGCTCCCAGATCAGCAGCGTCAACGCCGACATCGAGGCCCTCCGAAGGCAGTACCTGTAAGACCATCACTGTCCTCTGTTGCCATCTTGCACGGAGATCATGTGTGGGAGACTCTTCTCTCCCATTTCGTTCTGGCAATGAGTTTGGGGTTATTTCAGGGGCCTCTTCCCTTGGTCCTGATTCAGCTGCATCCATCAGAGCCTCCTGGTTGCCCATTATTTTCCAGGCTCCAGATCAATGTCCCCACATGACCCAGAATAGCTGCTTTATGGTCCCCAGAAGTAGCAGATGAGCAGCCAGTACCCTGCAGCAGGGTCATTCAGATGTGAGGAGGGAGCTCTGAGCTTTCCATGGCAAGGCTGTCCTCTGGTGGGGACTGAGCAGGGCAGCCTGACAGCTTTATCAACCTTGATACATCTGTATAAGCTGGGGAGGTGTGCAGATACAGCTGGTCTCAGATGCCCAGAGCAAACTTAGAATCCTGGAATGGTTTGGATTGGAAGGGGCCTTAAAACTCGTCTCATTCCAGCCCCTTGCCTTGGGCAGGGACACCTTCCACTATCCCAGGTTGCCCCAAGCCCCATCCAAGCTGGCCTTGAACACTTTCAGAGATGGGGCAGCCACAGCTTCTGTGGGCAGCCTGTGCCAGGGCCTCCCCACCCTCACAGGAAAGAATTTCTCATAGGTAGATTTTGATAGATCTCAGCTCATTTTTTTGGAAACCTGAGAAAGTTCTGCCACTGAACCTCTGAGAGAATGACCTCCTGTCCCCTTTAGAGCCCAAGCATGGCTCTGCCAGGAGAGGGAAGTTGACTTGCTCTGGACTTGCATTTTTTTCCCAAAGGGAATACACAATCCTCATCATCTGTGCTTATCTCCCTGATGGGTTGTCCTGGGATGCTGAAGGAAGAATGGTCATGAAGATGTGTGTGTGTGTGTGTGTGGAGAGGGCACTACCCCCATGTGTGTTCCACAGGGAGGAGCTGCAGTCAGTGCAGAGGGAGCTGGAGGTGCTTTCGGAGCAGTATTCCCAGAAGTGTTTGGAGAACGCCCACCTGGCGCAGGCGCTGGAGGCTGAGAGGCAGGCCCTCCGCCAGTGCCAGCGGGAGAACCAGGAGCTCAACGCCCACAACCAGGTGAGGGTCCCTGTCCTGTTGACAATGGGCTCCATGCTGAGCTGTGGCCACGCTCTCCCTTCCCACAACGGCTCTCCTCCTCTTCCCAGGAGCTGAATAACCGCCTGGCTGCGGAGATCACGCGATTGCGGACCCTGCTGACCGGGGAGGGTGGGGGAGAGGCTGCTGGGTCGCCTCTCACGCAGGGCAAGGACGCCTACGAGCTGGAGGTGAGTTCTGCAGGGAGGCACATGGTGGGGCACAAGTGCTGCCTACCCTGGGAGCATGTCACAGCTTGGGAACGTGTCACAGCCCAAGAGGTGTCACAGCCCAGGAGGTGTTGTAGCCATCTGTCCCCCAGTCAGCTCTCATGGCTCATCAGCACTGTTGTCATGGGCTGTATGAGGCCAGGAGGTTCTGGTGTCCTGATCTTCTTACCACATCGTGCCATACACTCGCTCTTCCTTCTGCAGCCCCTGCTTGTCCCTGGGATCCAATCCATGCAGAGCACTGGGGACAGAAACTGGGGTGTGCAGGGACTGCACCAGCACTGCAAGCTTGGGCAAGTTCCCAAGAGAACCTGGAGGAGTTTTCTTGTGAGAAGCAGAAGACAAGTGGGCCAGAGGCCTTGTTGTGCTGGCATGGGGCTGAGTCTCCAGCCCTGTACTTGATTACCACTGGGTACAGCAGGTGTAAAACTGTATCTGCTCGGGTGCAAAAACGCTGTTTTTTGTTCCCACAGGTCCTGCTGCGGGTCAAAGAATCCGAAATCCAGTACCTGAAGCAGGAGATCAGCTCCCTCAAAGACGAGCTGCAGACAGCACTGAGGGTAATGCCAGGGGTGGTTCTGCAAATCCTCCTGCTGTGCTCTGCTCCTGAGTGTCTGTGCTTAGATTCCAGCCCATTTACACCCAGATTTGAAACCATATTTAATTTTTCCCCTGAATGTAATTCCGTCCCCATTTTGGTGTCATCAGTAAAGCACTTCATGTATCAACTTAAGACTTATCCCACAAAGGAGACAGTGTGGGAAAACATCCCTTTCAGCGTGATTTCCCCATTTACTGTCACATCAGATCAGATTTAAATGGCACAAACAATCAGTGTTAGAGATCTGCCCAGCCTCGCAGCGGTGGAACTGGTTTGCTCTGGACAAGCCAAGGCCATTTCTGGGAATTCTGCTTGAATTCTGTCTCTTGGCTAAAATGAAAAGCCACAAACAACCCTGTAGCTGAGGGGCTGCACGCATGGGCAGCACCGTGTGCTGGCCCTTGGCTCTCAGCTCTCCGCCCGTCTCCATTCCCGCAGTCCCGGATCGCTGTTGGAAGCAGCTCCGAGGGCGTGTGTTGCCCTGGCCAAGCCTCTTTCCCGCTGCCGGCGCTTCTTCCGTCGGCATTTGCCAAGCTCCTCTTCAGTGCATCCACAAACCCCTCGGCTCCAGCTGTCTGTCTGGCTCCATCGGGTTGTTCTTGTTCCCTTGCCAGGATAAGAAATACGCCAGCGACAAGTACAAAGACATCTACACGGAGCTGAGCATCGTCAAGGCCAAGGCAGACTGTGATATCAGCAGGTTGAAAGAGCAGCTGAAAGCAGCCACAGAAGCTCAGGGAGAGAAATCCCCTGTGAACACCACTGTATCGGGATATGGTCAGTCCTCCTCCAGCAGCTCTAAGCAGTCCTGGGTGTCCCGAGCTAACACGGGAATCCTGGAGTACAAACCCTTGTGCAGTAATGGGTCTGAGTGTAGAACTTGGCCTTCCAACCCAAAGCTGATGAGCTTTGAAAGCCTTGTGACATTTTGCATCAGGAAAACCTCGTGATGCAGGGATGCCCAAAAGCCCCCTCTGCCCTTGGGGCAGCGCTAAGAGCCGGGCTCATCGAGGCACTTTCCTGGGCTGGGAGGGCAAAGCCCCAGCCCTGTCCTTGCAGGAAGGCAGTGGGCACCAGGCTAATCCCACTTCTTTTGCTTCTTCCCAGATATTATGAAATCAAAAAGCAACCCTGATTTCTTGAAGAAAGACAGATCCAGTGTTAGCCGGCAACTAAGGAATATCAGGTCAAAGGTGAGCTCAGATGTCCTGCCCAGTGGGATGGGAATGAGGAATGCCCAGCATTTCTCTTTGGTGGGGACCCCAAGTGGGAAGAAATGGGCAAGGGAACAAAACTAAGAACTTCCCAGCCACTAGTGCTAGCCTGGATGTTTTTTTACTGCAAAAGGACTGACTGTGCAGCCAGGCAGGGCCTGCTCCCCAACTCTGGACCCTGCTCAGATGGAGGCATGAAGCTGCTCCCTGGTTGGAAAAAAGGCTGAAGTTTGCCTTGTTCTTTGGTCTTTCACAGGAGGACTATCCCAGTATCTGCTCCCTCTTTTCAGCTGAAATATAGGTGGAAATGTGTACATCATTCTACTTTTAGTGTTCATCACTGCAAGGTTTTTTTATCTTCATGTGTATCAGCAGTGCCTGAGTCCTGGGCATATGTGACACACGCTTTGCTTGTGTGTTAACATAGTGCAGATGGCCCTGTGCTTCTGTGGTCCTTCTGTGCTTGCTGTTGGTCCCAAAGCCCAGTGATGCTGTGCCAAGCTCTCCTTGGCAGCCAGCTACATCATGTGGGACCACAGGGATAAGGAAGGGCAAATAATGCTGATCAGGAGTCAGCATTAAACACAGGGCAGCTGGGAGGAAGCTCAGCATGAGCAAACCTGCTTTGCCTCTCACCTGGTGTCTCGTGCTGGTGTTTGAAGTGGTTGGACCCTTGCAGGGCAGGCAAAATACTCTGAGCTCAGTGCCCACGTGGGGAAACACTCGCAGCTCTGTGAGCAGCAGCTCCTCAGCTCGGGGTGTCTGCACTGCACCCAGTGAATAGAGAGAGACTTCTGCACATTTTGGGGCAGCCCAGACCTTCTGGGCCAGTCTGATGTTGTGTTTCCTTTTACCACTTCAACTCAGATCACTTTCTGTGTAGTCCCCATGTGTGTTGCTTGGTGGGGAAGGAGAGGAGAGGAAGCAGGGGCTGTGCCAGGGAGTCGGAGTGGGACAGGGGGGCTGGGGCTGCGCCAGCGCAAATTCATTTGGGATTTATAAGCTTCTTTTGTTTTTGTTTTTTTTGTTTTATTTTGCTTTTTCCTTCAACAGTCCGTTATTGAGCAGGTCTCATGGGATAACTGAAATGAACCCGAGTCCAGGTTCCCTGCCACGTAGGTAAACACACCGGCACCCGCCCAGCGCCGCAGCCACCACGGGAGCGGCCCAACCTCTGCATGCACTGCTCACACCTCCCTGCCAAACCAGAGCCCTCCTTCTCTTAATGACTGACTGACTGATGGGTTTATTCACTGCTAACTCTTCTCTTGAGCAAAGGGGAGGGGAGAACTTAGTGTACCCAAGATCCATGTGAAACGCAGTCTCTCCGCCTCTTCCCTGGGGAATGTGGATTTTTGTCTTTCTCCTCTTCCCACCCTCACCAACACAGCTTGTCCTGGAGAGGATTTGGACATGGTGGGGCACGTTTTCCTGTTTACTGTGTTGGGAGCGTGGGACACTGAGTGTGCATGCCTGAATGACTCTGCATGCCTCAGACTAAACACCAGCACCGTCCAGGTCTCGTAGGAAAACACCTGTTTTGCTGTTAGCCAGGTGCAGGAATAGTCAGGGATGCTTTTTTAAGTGTGCTTCCCATAACAGCCCAGAGCATAGAAGATGGTCTCAGCCACCTCAGCTGCAGAGGGAATGTCCTGGACTGCCCTAATTTCCTTTACCCACAGTTGCTGCTTTTCCAGGTTGATCCATGCCTGAGCAAGAATCTTCCTTGCCCAGTAACCTTCTCCTCCTGCTCTCCATCCCTGAGCCTCCAAGGCTTCCAAGCTCATCCAGCAAAAGGAGGGAGCTGATAAGAAATAGGGCTGACTCTAATGAGCCAGATATCTCCATTACCTGGAGCAGTAGTGAATTTCCTGGCCCAAGGCAAAGACTGAGGTGGGAGCACCTGCAGAGGCAGGTTAGGAGAGGGGAGCTCCCAGCATGGTGGGTGGAGAGCCCCAGGAAGTCTGTTGGAAAATCCCTTTATCACAGATATCATCCTGTATTAGTCTCACTTCATCAGGCTCTCCTCATCAGCAACTGAAATGGTTGTGGGACTGCCTGGGGGCTGAATTTGCTGGAATTTGTGCCATCAGGCAGAACAGTCTGATGATTCCTGGTGTCTCTTTCCATCCACTGAGAAATCAAATGCGAGAACTGGAATGCACGAGCTGCTCCCATTTAAAGAGGCCCAAAGTAAACTTCCTTTAGGAAGTGTGTGCTCAGAGTCTCTCCCAGGAGACTCTGCTGCCCGTTGGAAAGAGAGCACACAGCATTTGGAAATGCAGTCCAATTTAGTGCTTTCATTTCCATGCTGCCTGGCAAAGCCCTTCTGTGTTTGTGGGCCTGTGGGAGGAAAAACATTTCCAGAAATACAGTAACCATGGGAATCTGCACAGCCTTGGGGCAAGTTTATCATGGAGTTCTGCCTTGATAAATACATGGGAAGGAAAACTCAGCCCAAAAGTCCAACCTGCTGCTGTGATAGAACAGTCCTCTGGCACCACAGCCAGGGAAGGGAAAGGAGAAGGGGAGGTGGCTGCCTGATAGTGGGATCATAGAATCCCAGAATGGTTTGGGTTGGAAGGGATGAAAAGTCATCCAGTTCCAACCCCTGCCATGGCAGGGACACCTTCCACTGTCCCAGGTTGCTCCAAGCCCTGTCCAGCCTGGCCTTGGACACTTCCAGAGATCCTGGGGCAGCCACAGCTTCTCTGGGCAACCTGTGCCAGAGCTTCCCCACTCTCTCAGGGAAGGATTTCTTCCCAGTGTCCCATCTAACCCTGCCCTCTGGCAATGGGAAGCCATCCCCTCTTATCCTGTCACTCCAGAGTCCTTCTCCAGCTCTCCTGGAAGCGAGACTCTGGAAAGGGCCCTAAGGTCACCTTGAGCCTTCTCTTCCCCAGGCCAGACAATCCCAATTCCCTCAGACTTTCCTCCTAGGAGCTGATTTCCATCCCTTCAGTCTGTGCCTTTGAAGGTGCCAAGTCTTGGTCTGTAAAGCAAACAAATGATGCAGCTGCAGCACAAATTCCTTGCAAGTTCCAAGGACCAAGCTGGCAGGCAGAGCTGTGGGGTGGGGACAGGCAGTGGGGCACAGAGGGGCAGAGCCCTGGCTGTGGGGGCTGTTTTTAGGGATGAGAGGTGGCTGTGCTTCCTTATCCACAGGGACAACTCACCACCTAATGCCTTGCTTTCCTCAATCTCTCTTGCCACAGGTTTGGGGCTGCAGGGAGGAGGGTGCTGGCTTTAGGCTGGTGCATCCCCTCAGGCTGGTTTTAATTTAAAGCTGTCCTACAGGATTCAGGCAATTTGTTTCTGCGTTTCTGCCCCACTCTACTGAGTCCCCATGTGTAGGTGATGGATTTTACAATTCCAAATGCCAGGGGGCTCCTGGCCAGCTGAGAGTTGTGCCTTGAAATCTGAATGCTGCGTCTGAATTGGATCAGCCATCAGAGCCTGCCAGACCTGAACAGCATTTAGGACTCCTCTGTCTAAGCCTGGAATATCAAGGCATCTTTGGCTTGGGAGAGTCCAGGGTGGGCTGAGAGAAGGGGTGGGATGGTCACTGGCAGCACACAGCAGTTTCTAGGGTTTCTTGAGCAAATCCTGCACAGAGTGGAGCCAGGACTGTCCCCATGGGTGCTGCAGTGGTGTGGAAGGCAGAGAAGGACCAGCCTGCAGGTCCTGCTCAGCATCCTGGGGTTTCAGCATAGCAGATCCCAGCTGGCCTGCCCAGGGCTCCCACAGCTGGAATTGCCCCATCCAGCAGTGCCCTGTGAGCTCCAGAGTCATTCCCAAATCAGCTAATCCCGCTTGCAGCATGATGTGCCTCTCATTCGCTTCTGGTTCGTTGCCTGGTTCATTTGCAATCTCACCCTGTCTCAAGACACCATAACCTTGTGTTCTCTCAGCATGTCCCACTAATCCTCCGCCAAGGAGCCCATTCCTCGCTGCCACGTCTCTGCCTGAGCATCGCTCCCAGCCCGCGCGCCAGGCCCGTGCCCCAACCCTCTCTGTCTTTTGTCTCTCCCAGAGTCTGAAGGAAGGCCTGACTGTGCAAGAACGCCTGAAGCTTTTTGAATCCAGGGACTTGAAGAAAGACTAGTTCTCCCCGCTCCGCTTGACCACGCGCACCTCCCAGCTTGAGGCAGCACAGCACCAGCACCGTTTGTCTCTCGTTCCTTACGATGTCCTCGCTGTCGTTCGTCCTGACGCCCCGACGGGACCCGGCGCCGCGGTGGCGGTGCCCCCCTCGCCTCCCCAGCTCCTTTCCCTGCTTGTGAGATGCTCCAGAGACTCTGAGAGGGAGAGGAAGGGATTGGAGTGGGGTTTTCCCCCCCCTCTCTTCGGCGCTTTGTAGGAGAATCCTTTCTTTACTGTAAACCATTACACTAAGTGTCAGTATTAAGGCTCAGTAGCCTGTTAATAAGCTATAGCTCTGTCGGGAAGAGCGAGCAGGGCCTGGGTGGTGTCAGCCAGACCGAGCTCTTACTGCTGTCTAGAGACCCCGTGCTCAGAGCACACCAGGAGCCTGATCTAATCATTGATCTCGACTGCATTTCTTGCACCTGCAAGGGGGGAAAGCCGGGGGAAGCTGTCGGGGAGCGCGAGTCCGTGCCGGCGTCCGCAGCCTGGAGGTACAACACTGACATCTCGCTGGAGAAGGATGCAAGAAGTGATTCTCCTGCCCCGTGACTGTGCCGTATCCTGAATGTAGGTGCCACCGAAGCCTGGCAAGCTTTGGTGGCTGCCCAGGTGGTTGTGGATGGGGAGCTGCAGCTACTGACGTGCACCATCGAGTCGGCCCCGTCGGCGCGTCCTCGCTCCCGTCTCGCTGGTGGTCGGAGTTGGTGTTCCAGGGGCCGAGCTGTAAGATCACTTTCTTGCCTCTGTTAGATCAAGCCCAGCACTCTTTTTTTTTTTTTTTTTTTTTGCTGTTACTCCCTTCCTCTCATTGAATCCTGTGTATCCCAGGGTCTGTGCGCATGTGAAACTCCCTTTTCCTAGTCAAAGGAAAGTAGAGTAGAAAGTAGAGCCAATATTGACTGAAAATGCACAGTGCTCAATGCATATAATGCTCCTTTTTTACCAGCTTCTTGAATTCAACTCTTCTTGTCAGCAGGGCAGCTCCTATTTTAATTCTTTAATCTTTTCCTGAAATAAAAATCTCAAAACCAGTATGTGCTTCAGACCTTCTCAGTCCTAATAGCTTTTCTATTTAAAACATATAATTTAGCACCGTGAGGCAGATAAATGCATACAAACCAAGGCATGAGGAACTGGTAGCACTTAGATGGTCACAGCCAGCTGAGCAGAGGCTTCTTAGATGAAGCTTGTGCTGCTTTGAAGATGTGGGGCTTTATCCCAGGATAAATCTGAAGATGCCACCTGGAAGGATCCCAGGTCCTGCCTCTCTGGTCACCAAGGCTGAAGGAGACTGGCACATTGGCTTCCCAACCTGGTGAGGTGCTGAGTGACCACTTCAGGCTGGAATGTGGAATGGAGCAGAGCTTCCTCTTGTCCTTTGGGCACTCAGCCAAGGTTGAGGCCAGCAGATCCCGGTGCTTCCCTGCTGGTTTTGGGTCTGGTGCTTGGTACAGGTGCAGCTCTCAGAGCCCATGAGGCTGGTGAAGCCACCCCCAGTCCTGCCAGGCTGGACCACAGCAGCTCTCAGAGTTGCCTTCATCCTCCTGGGAGCAGAATCTCTTTTCCAGCTGCCAGACCCTCAGCAGGACACGGTGTCACTGAACCACAGTGGGAATCAGGCTCTTGTGTGGCCTTGCCATGGCCAGGTGTCCAGCTTGGCACCTCACGGCAGGACTTGGCAGCCAGTCCTGGCTGGAGGAGCCCCGTTTGTGCCCAGGCAGGATGCCAGCACCTTGCAGGGGGCAGAGCACCTGTTCCTGTTGTGATGCTCTGCATGGAGGTCCTGGAGATGGGAGCAGGGTAGGAAAGATGCTCAGCCTGTCAGATACAAAGCCTTTCCCTCGTCAGCAGCGCGTGCCCGCGGATGTGTGGATATGCAGCCAGTCCCTGCGTCCGAGACCTGGGAACCTTCCTACCGTGACCCACCTGCATCACCTCTCCAGCCACTTCATCCCTGGCTGCTCCAGGTCTGTGGTGAGCTCTGATCTCCCAGCAGTGAGAGGCAGCATGGATTTGGGATGGCACATGGGCCTTGCCATTGCTGTTCCCTCGCAAGATGTCACTGGCTCTAGGAGAACACCCTCCTCCTCCTCCTCCTCCTCTTCCTCCTCTTCTCTTTAGACTTAGGATGGAACTTTGTCCTTTCTAGCCCACCAAGCAGAACATTCTGGTCTCCTTCTTGCCATGTGGACCCTGACCTATCTTAGATTCCCCAGCAAATCCTGCTCATATACTCTGGCTTGTAGGAGCAGACATTTTCCATGGGCTCCTCTGGAAAAATAAATGGAGAATCTTGGTCTGCTGTACAGACAGGGCTGAGCAGTGGCCTTGACATTGTCAGGATCAGCTGCACCCTCCAGGGCAGTGCTTGGGAAGGATGTTTGGGGTGTGTTTACAGTGGGAGCTGTGAATTCTGGGGGTCACTGAGAGGAAGAGGAGGGAGGAAGGTTCCTTATGCAGCCAAATGTTCTGAGCCCCTGCTAAGGGTTCTAGGCTCATTCTGGTGAATCTGAGCATCTCTCCAGGGCAAGGGGCAGCACTTTACCTGCCTTTAGAATAAAGAAAAAGAACCTGCAGCACCAATAAACATCCCCAAACTGAAATAATCCTGCAGAGCCCAGTACTTGAAAATAAAGGGACAAGTCCTTTTACTCATAGCAATGATCCTCAGTTATCTTCTTGCTTCTTCCTGCTCCAGGCTTCCTCCACCTTTTGGGATTAATCAGTGGCTATTTAAATTAGAAAGCGTGTGGGCAAGCTGCTGCATTCTGCATCACTCCACACTGTTGATAACACCAAAAAGGGAGGTTTAGGAAAAGTCAAGTGCAATGAAGGCACAGGTGTCTCCTCAGTTCCAAGTAATCTTATTTTTCCTGAGTAAAATTTTCCTTCCATTTGCACCATCTCCCCTTAGCCAGACTGAATCCTTCTTTAAATGTGGCCTTTTCTTTGCCCACGTATTAAAAAAAGAAGCAAATTGTGTTAATTTGCTTCAAAAACAGAATTGCTTAGAATTGGTGCTGACTTGCAAACCAGAAAATTCTTTTTTTTTAATTTTTTTATTTTTTATTTGATACCAGAGAACTGGGCTATAGTAAAAATGCTCACACTGCAAAATATGTCACTTTTGTATCAACTCTATTTGATGGCACTTCCACAGGATCTTTGCATTTTTGTCCTGGTTTGGATACTCAGTTTGTTGTGTATACTCAAGCACTTGCTGTGGTTTGCCTTTGCTCTGTAATTTTTTCCATTTTTTTTTAGGTAAAAAAAAGCTTTCTTATTCTTCTCTTTTTTAAGAACAAAAGTAATTTAATACCTGTATAGTATTCCAAGCGTGCAGTGTAAATATTTATTCCTCAGCAGTTTGCAGAGGGTTCTCTTTTGTGACTGAGTTGTGGGTTTGATTTTTGTCTTGTAGAACAGAGGCCCCACATGTGGGTTGGGAGAGGAGCAACCCACCCCATCTGCCCTGATAAACTGCTTTTTTGGGGGCTTGAAGACTGTTTAAAATACCTTTTCAAACCTTTTCCGTTGATCTATGCCTTCAGCTTTGAAAGTACCTGTCCAAAGATTGTGTACAGTCTGTTTGACCACTGTAACTTACTTTGCTATAAATTTGGGGTATTTTTTTCCAGTCAGAGGACTCAATAATCTTGTGTTTGATCAACGCTGTGCATGTGCAAACTGTGCCCTGTTGCTACAGAGAGCAGCAACATCTCCCTGCTGAGCTCTCCTTGCACAGCCACCGGGGCTGTACAGTGAGCACAGCAAGTCCTGGATTTGGGAAGCACCAGGAACACTGTGCAGCACATTTGGGATGCTCTTGGGCTTCCTGAGGGAGCCACAGCCTCCCCTGCACATCCACGAGCTGTGGCTCACTGTGGAACTTCAAACACAGTGGAACTACGAGAAGAAGATCCAAGGCAGTGCTGCAGACACAGGGAGGGAGCACCAGGCTGGGAACAACAGGCTCAGTGTGAGGCTGCTGAGGAAACCAGCTGTGGGATTTACTAGAGAAACCTGACAAGTTGGTAGCAGCTGAACTAACCCAGCTGGCCCTGAACTCTCAAATAATGGGTGCAATTAGCATTATTTTCTTCATGCTTTCTTCACCCTGTGTGCAGGACAAGAACACTCACTGTTTGTTCTCACCTAGAGAAAGCAAAGCATGAGAAATGGTAGAGACTGTGGTAAGTAGGAAGCAGGAATGCTCTGACTTGGCCTGTGTCCACTTTACTGGAGTTCTGGATGGCTTGAGAGTTTAAAGAATCCTTTGGAAGGATGGAGGTCTGTGGGGAGGGAAGGGAGCTCTGTGAGGCTGTGGGTGGTGTCTGATGTGGCAGTTCAGGTATTCATGAATGGTCAGTCTTCCTGCAGTGCCCTCAGCACCTGGCCCTGGCTCTGTCCGAGCAGAGCTTCACCCAACTGACCAATGATGGGGACTCGTTCTGGGTCAAATCTGGGCACTCTGCTCTGCCTTGTGTGTCTGGGAACAGCCCAGGGCGGCTGTGAGCACTGGGGCTGAAGGAGTCATGTCCCAGAGTCGTTTCTTTGAGGATGTGACCGAGCAGCAGCAGAGCAGGGCTGGGGTGCTGCAGCCTCAGGGCTCTCACACATGACTTTTTCCCCCCTGCGAAGGGGAGGGGTGTGGAAGGCTCCTGTTTCTCCATGTGTGTGAGTTCCTGTCCTCTTCTCCCTTCCACTCCCAGTTTATTTCAGTGCTTTTTTTAAGAGCCACCATTCCTGACCAACTGCTCGCTGTAGTAGAAACGTCACTTTTTCTCACTGTATTTATTCCTTACAAACCTTGTGTGACATGCTAGGCTCCCCAGGATGTAGCTGATCATTTTTACTTTGTAAATACAATTACCTAACTTTACATTAACTATATGGTAATAAACTATTTTTGCACCACCCTTTGCATGCCGTGTGTGACAGGTTTATTTCTAAAAAGAAGAAAAAGAGGTCAGAGCATGAAAAGGGAGATTTGTTTTTATAGTTGCACTTCACAAAGGAAATGCAACACACAGAATTTTGACAGCAATAATATATTTTAAGTAGTTTAGTGCTGCTGAATGGGATTTACTGGAGAATGACCTTTCCCAGGTGCTTCCATACAGATAACATAATTTTCTTTTCCCCATGCAAACTTTCTCATTACAGAACAGATTAAAATCTGAGAATGTCCATGTAGCATAAATATCTTAATAAGGAACAGGAACTGGAATGCAAAAGTCAGATGAGGCTGTTGATGTTTTCTGTGAAAAATGGTTTATTTAATAGTGGCAATCACAGCACTACTGGTAACAGAACTGGTAACAGAATATCAAAGCTCCTTTCATTTTGAGCTGTATTAAGGCACTTTCTATTCAGTGTAAGACAATTCTTATTTAGACACTATTTGGAGTTTGAAATTCTTAGGTTTACATTATCTTTGTTCCACTCTGAGCTGCAGGGACAGAGATGCCACCTCCCTCCCCTCGCTGTCCCCAGGCTGGTGATACCAGGTGAGGGCAGAGACCGTGACAAGGTGTCCCAACACCTGGAAGAACCAGGCTTTCCAGACCTCACCTGAAGCAGGTAACCCAACTCCAGCTGTGTCTGCTCTCCAGATAAACACTAATCCCAGAGAAGCATTTCTCTCATTTCCTTCCAGATTTCCCTACTCTTCCTTGCTGGAAGAGAAGCTGTAATTGCCATCGGTGCTCAAGCTTTTACACCGGAGCTCTGCTAACCTTTAACCAAAAGGAACACAATCAAAACTTAAAATTTTTTGCTATTTCCCACGAATTTCCTTTTACCAACTTTCAACAATTAATGCCAACAAGAAATGTAACTGAGGCACTTAATCTGTAGAAACTCTTAACTCTGCTGTAGCCCCCTTATATGTCCTTTAGTAACAGGTGTAGAGGAGCCCTTGGGCTACAATTCCTTTTGGAATAGGCTACAATTCCATTCTATAAGTTGGAAAATGTTCCTTTTACCACTGAAACATGCTCTGTATGAACACACCCGGTCTGCACCAGGGC